TAAGCGAAAAAATTTCCCTCTTCTCTTCGAATTCTGAAAGAGTTCGATCTGATGAATCGATTAAACACGTTTAAATTTTTAATCCATGCTTGGAAGCTGTCAATAGAAAACAAAATGTAAAATGACTCGTTAGCCTCAATTTGCCATCGACTAAATGCTTAAAAATTGTATTAATCGAAACTCTATTAGTTGAACTATAGACACGTGTAATATCATATGCCTATCTTCAACTTCATTCTGTGACAATCTTCTAAAGTTAAATTGGGAAAAACGTGGTCCATCTCGTGCGAACTTTCCTAATGACCAGGGTCTACTATAGTTTATAAGTTTACAGTGTCAGGTACTATAATATCTAACTTATAATTATAAAGTTTCTTTTTCCACGTACATCGACCGTCCCTGTGCAAATTGGATGATAAATAGGAATGTGCATGGAACCGCGCACGTGTAATGATTGTTGTACGGCATTTTATTATTAGCTTCCTCTCTGTGACCACGGTCATTCTAGTAGCCTATAATTTCAGGTACTATAACATACTCTATAATTTCAGGTACTACAAAATATTCTATACTTCTATAATGTCAGGTACATATACTGCATTTGCATAAATCTGACGTAACATATTGACACTCTGAAAGTCGCTGCTTTGACATAAATTCCATTTTAAGTCAGACGTTCCTCCCTCGCATACCGTTCCCGGTGTGTCTGGCTTTAACTTCCAGTTCATTTCAAGGAACCAGAGCTACAGCTTGTCTGGGGCGATCTGCTGTAGTAACTGTTTAGATACTGATTAGCACGTGATTATCACGTGTGAGGAACTGGAACATTGAAACAGCCCAAAAAACAAGGATTCTCTAGTTCGATAACCCTATAAGTATAATGCATAACACAAGTAAATTGAATGATATTTTGTATCTGTTTTTTTATATGTATCTGTTTTTTTTACAGGCTTATGACTTTCTAATATAGTTTTCCGACAGTGCTACAAAAACTGTAACTACAATAACTTATAAACAGCATTACATGGATTATTAACTACCTTACTCGGGATTATTATGACCGGGATAAAGTGGCGGGTTTAGGGTAATTTCGCCATATTTTTCCCGAACCACATTTTCACCGGTCGTTAATATACCCGCCGTCTCAGCTTTTAGGGTTCCCAAGGGGTATGGGTGCTCATATTTTAATCGTTGTCTATATTCACTAAAGAAGACTATTGGGACACTTGTTGTAGGTTTTTCGACTTCATTTGGCTAAAATTGCAAAAAATTCACCTTTTTGCCCAATTCTTGTCATATATCCTTATTGTCAAAGTTGATTTAAATAGGCCAATTTTAATTTCTTAGGTATTGTCTATCTCTACATAATGAAATAGGACTCAAAGTAAAAGTAACAGTTAAATTAAAACTTGAATTAATCAAAACTGTCAATAACATGAATCAGTTTCATCAGTCATTTATTCATAATTCTAAACAATGTGAACGATGCATTCTTTCGAAGTTTGATTAACCACGAGTCATTATTTCTGTAGACTTTCAACAAATATTGATAATTCGACTTGTTTCACAAGTTTTAGCAATGCGAAAATTTCTAAACTTGCTTATCTCTAATAAGGAAATTTACATCTGAGACAAAATTTTTGAATCTAAAATTGAAAGGTTGGACACCGGTAAAATGGCGACCGGGAAAATGTGGTGGGTTTTGAGCAATTTCGCCATATTTTTCCCGAACCATATTTTAACCGGTCGTTAATAAACCCGTCGTAATAATCCCGAGTAAGGTAATTTGATTGAGCAGATCACCAAACACGTGATAATATGTTTCTGCTGGGAGAAAATGTGTAACCCAAACCCATGTTTTCATTTCATTTGTGCTGCTTCCATTAATAGTAAGCACGTACAATTCAGCTAACTTCATGCAAAATGCAAAAAAAGGCTTTAGATTTTTTAATTCCAGCAAATCACCTGTCTACTTTTGGAATGCAGTTCCTTATTTTTGGAAGGATTTACGAAAGTCAGGATTTGAAGAATATAACAATGATATCATTTCTTTGTATCATGATGTGTTGCAGAGTGCGACAGATACTCATAAGAAAATTTTAGCTAGCCAACACGCACGTCGCACCAAGATTAACAAATTTTTCAAAATTAAATAATTGTGGTCTTACAATTTAACAACATGGTAATAGCTGGTTTAGTCACGTGTCATGCTGATTTTCGCACAATATTATCCTTTACCAACAGTTTAACGTGAAATTGACATGCTGTCATAAATTGGCAAAATACATTGACTTATCACGACATATGACGACGTTATTAGGCTAACATGAAGATATTCCTGATACATATGTGAAATACCGGCACTCAGGCACTGATAAATTCAGATTTATGATATTAATATTAAGACTTAAGCGGAAATAAGACTTATTTGGGTACTTGCAATTTATCATAAAGATAGCTTTACCTCATCATAATAAAGATCCTTTTATCTGGTGACACATTCGAGCGTCCCTCCCTTATTCGGTACGGTTTTACCTTAAAACAGCATCACTTCACCTTTTATTCATACCAACCGCGTAACTGATTGCAAGCAGAATATTATTTTACGAGAGCAAAACTTGCTAACAGCGGCATCATCTACCTGTATAGTGTATAACACAGGTACTGTATAACATTAGCAGAGCGTTTCTGCATTAGGTTTTATCTTAAGTCTATTTTATCTGGTGCTGATGTGACAAGAACCACTGAGTTGGGGTACCCAACCAGCACCGGGGATTTTATATCTGATTCCCTGGTGAGATTTCCACTAATTCAGAGTCTACTGGTTCTGTAGAGTGAGCTCTCATATTCATCCCAACTTATCACTTGTTTTTACTGCTACAGTATACATCACTTGTGTATGAGCTGAATCTTTAACGATGTACGCGTTAAGGGAGGTCTTCATCAAAATTCTCTTTTGCTTATGGTCCCATGTAAAAATGTTGTTCCTAGCCGAAATTATCGCCAATCAAAGGTCAGCGCTTATGTGTAATTGTATTGCGCGAGCGATTTTCAATCGCGAGTTTTGAAAATCGAGTCTAAAAATCTAACTTCTCCTACATTTTTTTAGTGATCACGCTGAAACGGTCAGGATATGTTTTAAGCACCATTTAGAAGAGATCGAAGGGACAACATTTTCAGATAGGCCTTTAAACATTTTTTATTAAATTTTGAAAATCTTGGACCTCGTTTTTTACGATTTTTTGAGCAGCTGGTAGATATATCACTCCCCTCTATCAGAAACAACTATAAAGTCAATTTCGAGAGAATTTTGATGAAGATCCCCCGGCCCCTTAAATAAGGATGTGTTATTGAATAATAACTGAGTATTTTTTTTCAAATAGTGATGTATTCTCAAAAATAAGTGATGTATTCTCAAATAGCGATGTACTAAATGCCATACTTAAAGTTGAAAGGGCGCGGTGACGGAGTGTACAGGAGATGGAAGAGAGCTTTAAATTTGTTTTTTAGTACCAACACAAGACTCAGTCTAGACGGGGGTTTCACACTGAAACTATGTGGCTCTATAACACGGTTAGGGCTTAAACTCTTAAAGAACTCACTGCAGATATGTATGTGTAGACACACGTTATAGCCGTGAATTTTTCCAAGTTTCTAAAAAGAACGGTTGAGTATTGAAAAAAATTCTATAGTAATAGAAATATACAAGGGGTTCGGGCACCGCAAAACTATGTAACTCCAAAATAAAGTACAGTTTAAAGATTAAAAGAGGCACTGAAAATAGGTGAATTTGAGGACCGTTCCGTCCTCTATACTTCTATACGAATTCAACGCAACAAGGGATTCACGACCTTAATTTAAAATGATAAAAACAGAAAAACAAACCACCGCGTTATCTAGCTAAGCAGCTAGTTATTTCTCATGGAGCCATTACAGCCTGGATCAGTAATCTAGATTGTCATGTCTTACGAACCCGATGCATATCTTTGCATATGATGATCTTTGCATATCTTTGCATATCTTTGCATATCTTGCAGTGTGCAGTTTTAAAGGGAGGATCCCTTGGTTGAATTCTATTAATAAAATAAGATTAACCTGCTGCATCTATATATGTGTTTTCGTCAGTTAATCTAGTGATCAGCTGGCAATCAATTCATACGAAAAAGTAAGATTTGTGCTTTTGTACTTGTAGCAATGACCAGTACGTCTACTCACCGGAAAAGCTCTAGTCTTCGTTGCTTGGCATCCACATATTTCTAGATTTCTCACAATTGCAATAGAGACTAACATTCCACCAACTGTAATCAGACAGAAGAAGATCCAGCAGCTAATCCTCATGGTAGATACCTTTGTTCAAGTGTTAGACATCATTTTGTATCTGTTGACCTCAACGACCTCTATCCCTTCAGCAAAACCTACAGCAGCAAACAACAAGAACCAGAAAGCAGTAAGCAGTAAGAATCTTGTATCATGTATACGACTCCAAATCACTAACGTAAAACTAACAAAAGTACAACCTCACTACCATATCAAAAACCTGATAACAAAATCAAACATCACAATCCTCCCAACCAACACCTCACATTGACCAATTCAATCTCAACGCCAACAACCACCCTCTCCAACACAGAACCGGACAACTTGATACTGATCAGTTAATAGCAATATTGTAGGCCAGCCTGACTGACCTCTCGAGCACAGTTTAATATGATCAAAAATTAAATTGAAAAACGATGTGTATGTGTATGTTTGTGTTGTCTGGAGACCTCTGCGTTTCATTAGACAAAATTAGAAATAAGGGGGTATATTAATAAGGGATATAGAGTTGGATATAGAGCACGGCCTACACACACATATTATTCTTCCAATCTAATCAGTACGAAGCTTCATTACTTAGCAACAGAGAGTTGGTCGCATAGAGAGAGAGGGGGAGACCGGAGAGGAAGACACAAACAGGATATTTTCTATTTTTTGTTGTTGTTGTTGTTGTTGTGTCTTACCTTGGTTTATGTTGGAGGCTGGGGCTAGAGGTTCAGGTTTGCATAGGATTGAGTTGTCTTGGAGAGACCGGGGAGGGTCTTGCTGCATGATGATCAAGAGAGAGAGAGATAGACGTGCTGAAAATCAAAATCTAAAGCCTATTACAGTGGTATATAATACAGCTGCTGCGCGAGTCAATCAGCTCAAGCGAGAGCCCGGAGCAAGAGGCTGTGTTTCCAATCAGAGCGCAGGAAGGTCGTGGAGGAGCCAATCAGAGCGCCGAGGAGAGGGTAATTCAGCCAATGGGAGCGCGAGTTGGGCAGCGAGTCCACCAATAGGAAGAGATGTAGGAGCACGTGCAGATCTAGCCATCACTAGGAGTCACAGCGTGGGGTCCGACTCTATGTTCCCGTGTTGTTGCTACGGAGGTCACGTGGCGTTGTCATGAAAACCCACGTGACCAACTCGCATCCAGTGGATCGATAACAATAATTTGACGTGTATACACGACGAGAGAGGAGAGAGAGAGAGAGAGAGTCAAGGGAGGTTTGTATAGAAACTGTAATTAAACGAGGAGCTATCCAATCAGAATATTGCGTTTTAATCACGTGATCCGAGCTGGCCAGTCAGAAAAAGGAGCCGGTTGTATTAGGAGAGTTCACAGATTTGTACAGAGATGATATACGTGACACACGATTCACGGTGTGTGCGCAACAAGTCACAGGGCCTGGAGACATATGATGTGGTATACAACATGTTACAACATGACGGAACGTGGTTTTTTGTGGAGAGGGTTAAAAATGAAAGTTTTGACTTGCATACTTCACTGTTAAAATCATGGGAATTGTTACTAACCTGGAGGGTAACCTGGAATATTTGCTGCATTCCAGAAGGGGTTTCTGTAAACAGTGTAACAGTCAAACGATCTTCTGAAGTCTGCAGCATTTTTGGTATCTGGAGAACTGAAATGCATTTAATTTTAACATCAAATAATTGAACGACATCGCGGTAAGAAAGAAGAGGGAAGAGTTTCATAACTTTTCAGCATACAATATTTGTTTGCTGCACTGAATTGTTCCATGACTCAAAGTTTAAGTTGGATAGAATAAACAAAATTGAGTTATTATTAAGTTATTGTCTTCATCAACTTGTACGATTATCTTCCTGATTTAGTATTAGCATTATCCTGATTAGGTCGTTGCGTTGGCAGTGGTACGGTACAGTTTGTATAGAAATAATATAGATAACAAATTAATTATTTTGAATTTTGTGGAAAATCGACAACTGAGAATGAGATATAGCGTACTCGGTAATTCTTGGCTTAGAACTCAGTTATTTTTTGTCCGGCGCGATTTATATTTCCACAAAAAGTACATTGCATTGCAAAGACTTCATTCAAATTTCGTGAATCGCGCGGGGTACAATCTGTTGCTATGTATTCTAAATCAGTGTATAATGAAATGATAACGGACTTATAAAAATCACTCGGGGTGCTTTTCTAACATCTAAGTGAATAACAAACTCAAAAAACGTTATTCATACTGTCATATTTCTCCGTAAAAAGCACAATGCAATAGTGTGCGAGGTGCTTTTGTTGTTTGTCGAGATGCCTCGATCGAAAGCGATCTTAAAGTTAAATTACATTTACAAGTCCCCGTAATTGTAAATGTAAATTATGGTCGGTACACGTCGACGCGACTTAATCTAGCATTTTAAGGGAAATTTTATGCGTATGTTAATATTGTATTCTGTGTAAAATTATCTTTATCCCGGTTGTTGCGACAAGTGAAAATGCTCTTATTACTATTAGGGAAAGGAGATTACTCGACGTTTCAATGTAACTACATCGTATTCATGATCTCAAATTATTTGTTATATAGTAGTGTTGAAAGTGTTAAAAAAATAAAATTCCAATCCGGATTTTACATATGTTAATATTATTATACTTATAGACATGATGTGCTCAGTGCTTTTTGTTTTTTGGAGACATATTATTATTGCATAGTGCGCGCCTTTTTCATTTTTCCTCCCTAAAAATGTGAAATGGGTGTTGTCACCACGCGGCGGCCACGGGCCAGGATTTGCGTAATCTTTTGGCACGGATCATATATCTTAGTTTGAATAAATTAACTACTATATCGCCGTATCATAAAACCAAATTTAACATAATAGTATTTGACCAAAACCCATAATCATGGGTAGAGTGAACCGCTGCCAGTGTCTCTCTTTTCCAAACAAAAGAAAATGATATTAATTTGAGGAACCGTCCGCAAATGCAAATTGATACCGAGAATGAAATCGGTCGCTCACTTTTCCCATTCAATAAGCTTTATTACAATACGTAAGCCGTGAATGAATGGGAAAAGCGAGCGACCGATTTCATTCTCGGTATCAATTTGCATTTGCGGACGGTTCCTCAAATTAATATCATTTTCTTTTGTTTGGAAAAGAGAGACACTGGCAGCGGTTCACTCTACCCATGATTATGGGTTTTGGTCAAATATCATCTCTTTTTGATTATAATGTCAGGATAATTTACACAGTCGAAACTTAATAAGGAGGTAATTTCAACGATTTCGAAATTTTACCTTTGAAAACGTTTCCTTGTGTTTAGGTAGGCATATCTGTCAATAACAGACTGAATATAGCACTTTTTACTCATTCAAGTTGGCATTAAATTCATATATAATGCCATTTTAATATCGTGGGAAAGCAGAATATATTCGAAATCACGAATGAGCAAAATTCTCACCTTTCGCACGTGCAAACTTTGAGCGGACGTTGCGTGCGCATAAAATATTGAATCACCATAAATTTTTGCATAGTGTTATTTAATATATAGTTTGATAAGCATGAAAAGTTTCAGAAGATTTCAAAAAGAACTTGGATCACAACGGGACTCCAAAGTTGGTAAAAATCGTGAAAATAACAATTTTTAGTGATTTTAGCTATTTTAAATGAATTTGGGTGTGTCCCCACGTGTGCAACTTTTCGATTTTCAACTTTAAAACTAGCCTATAACACAATTTAGACCTTTAGGAAGCAAAATTGAGCTCCACAACCCAAGGGATGGCCCAACACCAGAGAATACTAATTCACAACTTTTGTGTTTTTATAAAATTATTCTTCAAAAAAGCACAAACTTCAATAGCGAATATCTTTATGAAGGAGCAAGGTAGGAAAACTTTCCGGTAGATTTTCAGAATGGTAATCTTGTTTTGCTCTTATGAGTGGGTCAATCATTTATTTTTAATTGTAGTTGACGAAATGAGAGTCTCCACTCAGTGTGTTAAAACATAATTCTTTGTCGACGTTTCGGCTACATGCCTTTGTCATAAACAGGACGTACTGAAAACTTACATAGCTCAATAAATGTAATAGATTTGTAGTGTTGTAATTAGTTTAAAACATTTCGTCAACTACAATTAAAAATAGATTTTCAGAATGCTTGAAAAATTATCTAAGGTGAAAATGTCCTCAGATTTTGAATAAAATTACTCCTTAATGCTTTAAAATCGATTTGAAAAGTTGTTATTTTATCAAAAATCAAGTTTTAAAAACACTTAAATTGATGACGTCATCAAGTGATGATGATGACGATAAATTATTTTTCGATATAATGTAAACTAAAGTATAAACAATTATCTTTAAAACCTGTGGTTCGAAATGACTGTATCTTTTATACTTTTGAATCTACGGACACTTAAATGTAGGCTACAATTTACTGCAAAAGCGTCTATACATATATATATATATAGCTTCACGACAATCTGTTGTAAAACAGGGGTTCCAGAAAACCCACTTCCCGATACTCCTGCAACATGAATTTTTTTTTACAGTCGATTTGGACAAGGTCTAGACGCTCTGCAAAGTTTCAGATCTCTAACTCAATTTTAACATGGTTTTTAAGGCACCTGAATATGGCGATTTTGGGTTTTTTACCTAATTTCGTATAACATGCTGGCGCGTATTTTGCGCAAATTTCTTAAAAACCTCCACAGAACTATTTCTTATTCCTGTCATCTTTAACATTGAATTAGAATGTTTTGAACTTAAATATACCTGCTGAACTACTTTCGATGAGTCTTAATGCCTGGAAAACAATAAAGGGGATATAATAGTATAGGGGGTACATAGTGTTGTGAATATAAGGGCAACGGTTATGCTTGCCAGCATTGTGATAATATTAAAATGAACATTTATAAGTCTGAACTACATATAATTATATTTGAACTTTTAGCAATCTTTCCTTTTCTACACAGTTGTGTCTGTGAGCCATATTAACAATTTAAGTTTTTTTTAATTCGTAGTGGATACACCACTACTACTAGCTATAACATGGGCCACACCGCGCTTCAAATAATGCTTCTTCCCGAGATCGTAGCACTACTAGACTGGGCCTTGTCCATTGTTAATGGACTAGCCCGGCGCGCTAAAATTTTGAGAAGAAAGCGCGGTGCGTGCTACATTTGAAGAAATTTAGACGAGTAACATCCGTCAATACTGGGCCGCTTTGTATCACGTCGCGATACCTGATTTCTGTTAAATCTCATGGCAATTTGCCGCGAGATTGGAGATGGCCGGGCACTTGTGAGCGGCAGACGCCACAGCGCGGAGCTAGGGCCACCACGAGCTAATACAGTGGGAAGGATTGACATCTTCAATCAAACTGAACCGTTAATAAATTTATCAAGCTATCTGAACTCTGAGGCTGTTAAACATAAACCGATTTTATTATAGTCAAAGATCATATATATATGACAAAATGCCGGGCGGCTACTTCCAGCATAACCATCTTAAAGTTTCGACCTTATACTAAAAGATTACACTAGTCTAGACTTGACAGACGCTGTAACCCCTTTTGATCGCGTGCACGAGAGGTATACAACGTGTAGCAAGTCTAGACTGGTTTCGTGATCGTATTCGCCATAAAATTGCTGGGTGAAATAGATTGCAACTTTTGCCAAGCGAAAAATCACAGATGACAATTGACAATCATGGTTCTCGTTAGTAAGACTTAAACATGGCTAAAGTTGACTAAACCATAAACTAACCTTGTCTGACATGAACTGTAATATTTTCATCCAATCACCGTTCCGTTCATCAGCTGTGCAATATTGTGCCCAAACTTGCTCATTCATTACTGCAACTGTTCCAAATAAGTTTAGAATATAGGATATTTCTACAGAATTTATCGCAATATATTTAAATTTTATTCTGAATCTATTACAATGATCGAGAGACAGAGAAAATCATGTAAAAACACAGTGAAACACAGCTTTATTTAGATAAAATACGGAAAGGTAATTATCAATATGAAGCACGGATCTGATTTTTTAAACTGCATAAATTTCTTGAACAGCAAAGCCTTAAGGGGGGGGGGCCAATGGATATTTTTTTGTGAAACTTGATTTCGAGATAGCAGTTGACCAACAAACTAGGACCAGTGACCGAACTTTTGAGGGGGTCCCGGACCCCAACCGCCAAACGGTGCCCGCGGGGCAGCCACGCCCATATTTGGTCCAAATTAGGCCCAATTTAGCCAAATACTCTGAACATGCCCAAAACCCAAATTTTAGGTGCTCTACTTGTAGCTAGTGGCCTCTTGAAGTCGTATATGAAATTTCATCAAGATTGGACAAAAAATGACTGAGTTATGAGCCAAAAACCATATGCCCATATTTGGGCATACGCACCAAATTTGGTAGATTTCGTCCCATAAATTGGTCAAATATCAATATTTTTCGCTGAAACTTACTTTATATGAAAGGTAAGCCTAAACTACATATTCTCTGTAAGTTATAGCTTTATATCTGTTTAAATGTGGATACTAAGGCGAAAAGACCACAAAAAATGAACTAAATTGCCCATATCTTGGTTCGCGATATTCGCGGAATTGATCTCATTAAAATTGTAACAACTCAATCAGTTTTCAAAATTTTTCCATGAAATTTTTGGAATCGACTCGAAATCGCATTTCCACCTTAGTTTGAGAACAGATTTTTGATTAAGGCCTCAAAAAAAATTTGGCGGCCAAATTCTGAATTTCTCCGGGAAAATTTTGGAATTTGGCCGCCAAATTTTTTTGGAGGCCTAAATCAAAAATCTGTTCTCAAACTAAGGTGGAAATGCGATTTCGAGTCGATTCCGAAAATTTCATGGAAAAATTTTGAAAACTGATCGAGTTGTTACAATTTTAATGAGATCAATTCCGCGAATATCGCGAACCAAGATATGGGCAATTTAGTTCATTTTTTGTGGTCTTTTCGCCTTAGTATCCACATTTAAACAGATATAAAGCTATAACTTACAGAGAATATGTAGTTTAGGCTTACCTTTCATATAAAGTAAGTTTCAGCGAAAAATATTGATATTTGACCAATTTATGGGACGAAATCTACCAAATTTGGTGCGTATGCCCAAATATGGGCATATGGTTTTTGGCTCATAACTCAGTCATTTTTTGTCCAATCTTGATGAAATTTCATATACGAGTTCAGGAGACCACTAGCTACAAGTAGAGCACCTAAAATTTTGGTTTTGTGCATGTTCAGGGTATTCGGCTAAATTGGGCCTAATTTGGACCAAATATGGGCGTGGCTGCCCCGCAGGCACCGTTTGGCGGTTAGGGTCCGGGACCCCCTCAAAAGTTCGGTCACTGGTCCTAGTTTGTTGGTCAACTGCTATCTCGAAATAAAGTTTCACAAAAAAATATCCATTGGCCCCCCCCCTTAACTGAGAAAAATATAAAAATTAAAATGGCTTACGTGGACTTACTCACATTCGGTCAAACAAGCTACATACCGGAAAACACTCATTTAGAATTATCATAACTTAACTAAAATTTGTCCTTGTCTAGGCTGGTAAGTCAAACGGTTCATCATACATATAATATTTAGAAAATCTACGGAAGAAGCAGTTGCGGTACGGTAAAAATGTAGGTTTTCGACTAAAATCAGGGCTCCTCAAACGTCAACTTTCCACTGATTTTTTCTCATTTATATCCTCAAAACGGCTGCAGATTCAACTTTCTGTGTCCATCACCCCGTCCGTTTTGTCGTGTAGTATAACGTACTCGCGCGTGCTGAACCCGAATTTGACGATATCTCGTTCTTTTAGTTCGTAGTACCTGGAAAGTAGGATGGTAAGGAATGATATCTGTAGTTTGTTCTGCAGGGTGATCAGTAAGCTTTGACCTATTGGTAGATTTACCAATACATTATAGAAATGGGTCCGTGAATTCGAAATATGTTACAATTTCAAATAGTTTCCAAATTAATTTCAAAGAAATAACGTCTTCAGTCGCCGAATTACCTCCGTGCCTCGATCTTGACGTTGTTGAGGAAGCTACCGTTGGTACTTTCCAGGTCCATTAGATATGGTTTAACTTTCTGTGTCTGTGAGCCGTCCTGTCTAATATGGTCTACTAACCTGAAGGATGATATGTAAAACTCAAGTTTCAACACAAATATTTACAAAGAATGTGTCCAAAAATCTCGTCGAAGTAGAAAGAATATTCAATGAAAACTTGAGGAATGCTATGATATTTGTTCAATCAATAAATCAGTATTCTTCATCAGCGTATTAATATTTGTTCAACTATTTCCTCAGATAAACCTGAATTGTATAACTGCATGCTGAGATGAACAGGATGGGTGATCTGCAGGGATATCTACAATCTTCCGTTCCCTTCCTATCAGATAGCCACTGATATAGAATTTGTGTCAAGTATTTAATTTGTTTATCAGTTAGCTAAATAACTTTAACAATCTAATTTTGAACGGGCCTTATCTCAAGTAGGTTACTGAGATGGATGTGTTATGGATGTGTTATGGATGTGTTATGGATGTGTTAAGATGTTATGGTGTTAAGACGAGGTTGTTATCAGCATTACGGTTAATGTTGCGCTTTAATTTCCTTATGTATAGTTAATGTATCTCCAATATTCATAATAGCCATAATGAAGCTTGGCACGTGCAACACGTCTTTAAAGTCTCAACTCCATAGTCAGAATTTCCGGGAAATGACTGGACACGGCCACATGATAAGCATTAAATTTCACGTAAATTCCAGAGAGCGCGCAAACCGAACCGTCGTGCCATTACAATTGACAATTTCTCTTTCGTAGAGATGATGTACCTGCGCGCTACATTAATAAACATTTTTAATAGCGACCGCAGTTTTGGGGCGACATAGCGTTATGTGGGAAGTCTGCGAAAGACCGAATTTCTGCGATAACGCCGCACAGATTCAGGAGTGAAAATGTGATAGAATGGCGGAAAAATACTAATGGTGCTTTTCAACTGTGGAATTCGAGTTGTTCCAAGGATTCACATAAGCTTTATTAATGATATGAAGGGACTGATAAGAGTAAGATTCCGCTTTCGTGTTCATAAGCAAGTCACATAGTTTACATTCTTGTAAATTGACTGTTTCAATAGAATAACCCTGACCTGTTGCGATGAATATACATGGTTGGCAACGTCTCAGCTCCCTTGAAAGGGTACAATCTCCACTTCGTTTTAGGAATCCTAGCTTCTTGGGGTTCTGCATACTTTATAACAATTCCTTTGTAAGTGTTCCTTTCCTCGGCTAGTTTACCAGATTTCTCGTAGTTTGGTGCTGATAGGTCCTGGAACAAGGTAACTTGAAAGATCGAACAAAAATTCATTGCAATGAACTGCATATTTTCGCATATAAACAGTAACAATTCCCTAAACCATTTCACCAAAAATTAAAGCATTACCTTCTTTTGCCCCTCTCCATCTTCACCCTTGTCTGCGTTTTTATCAGGTTTCATTTTCCTATCCTTATCCTTCTTATCCTTCTTCTTCTTATCACTCTTCTCCCGATCTTCTGTCTCCATCTCCCTCTCCTCCTTCCTTCGTTTCCGCTCTATAAGATAACCTTCTAGTCCGGCTCTGTCCCCTCCTACATACTTTGAGGGTGTATCTAGGGGGACAAGTAGCCAGGAACTTGAATTTTATTAATTAATTAGTTAATTGAGCTAATTAATTGGTTAATTAATCTAATTGAGTAGTTAATTAAGCTGATTAAGTAGTCGATTAATCAAATTAATTGGGTGATTCATCTGATTCTAACGGTGTGTAACCAATCTTAAAAGAGATAATTTATTTAAATATCGTTTGAAGTTAAAATGTTTTATGTTTTCAGTTTACAACGAATTGTTTTAAATGTACTAGAGCCCAAACACCCACCCCTGAATTAAACTTACTCATTGAAGTATTCCTAGGTTGGGGACTGTTATTGTTCTGACTATTATTGAGACTACTGTTGAAACTCTGACGTCGAGGACTGGATTGTTGTTGTTGTTGTTGGCGGTTGTTACGCTGTTGTTGGCGGTTATTACGCGCTGGGGGTGAGCTCTCTCGTTTTTGTTCTGAAGTTTTTTGTTACAAAAATTAAGATTAATTGTTAATTAAAACTAACAACATAAGGAAAACCTCCCAATAAACAAGCAAGCGAACATACAGAACTGAACTTAGATTTAAATATTTTCCTTAAATTAATTGGAAACAACCCGTGTCTTTGAAGGTGTGGATTATCGATATGGGCGGGGTAGAAATACCGTTTTTCATTTCATTTCATTACATGACGAACACACATCAATAGTAAGCAGTCACTGTTGCAATGATCACACAACACCAACCATACCTGATACCTTATTTGGTATAACTGAGGTCACGTGACTACCAAATACGGTCACGTTACTATTAAATATGATCACGGGACTACCACTTACTGGATCTGGCAGGAGCAGGGCTGTCTGAGGAGGATGAGGAGGAGTCTGAGGAAGAGGAGGTGGAGGTTTGTCTTTTTCTGGAGGAGCCCATAATTAGTTAATTTGTGTGGTTGGAAACCTTTTACCTTGCTTGTAAGGGAATATTACTGTTAGTTTGAGGGTTGGTAATTCAAGGATATTGTATTGTGTTATAGTTAACTCTGGAGGATCGAACGGTAGTATAAAAATATCATACGGATATATGAAATCGGCAACTTGACAAATCGAAAAATGGGCTAAAGGTTGTGATCTTCTTCTCGCAGGTAGAGACAATGAAATCCATTCAGTAAAGAAACAAAACGTGCTTCAAATTAAAGAAATCAAACGATCAATACAATAGCTTTAAAACATCAAATCATGAAATAAATTATCATCGAAAATGGATAGCTTCAACTTCTCTTATTGTTGCATTAAAAATGTTTGCAACCCGAGAATAGTTAACATAGTGAACATAGTTATCATAGTTAACATAGCTAACATGGTTACCATAGCATACTAATGAGGTATCCTAGTGAAACATGGCGTTTACCTCAGGTATTCAATTGCCAGATATAAACTTGATTTAAGCAGGTCACACATGATTTAGATTTATGACAAAGGAACAAATAATAACAATTGAAACGATAAATTTAATGAAGATAAGGATCAGATATTACCTAAATTACTTATTAAGCACAGATTTACTTAGATAATATGTGTATCAAGTTGAGTAACCTATTGTAACACTACACTATTTGAATATAATAAGGACTTAATCAATTCTGAAAATTCTAAACAAATTTACTGAAAACTTCTGTATGCAGAGTCGTCAAAAAAGATATCATATCTCACAAACTTGAACCAAGCGAACTATATACAAATCACAAAAATACTTTCATTCAATCAAACTGAGAAAATTCATACAAATTCATACGTTCATTCGAATTACTGTTCATTTGTTGTTACAACAGGAACTTCTCGAAGCATACGAAACACAACTCGGTACTCATTTTGATTATCTTCTTCATAATGAACGCTATTCCCTAACTTTAACATATCCAAAAACGAAATCTTCTCTTCTTTGGACAAATTCTCCGCAAAGTCTTTACAAATAAGAACAAACACATCCGGTTCCACGTGTGTAACATCAGAAACTATGTAGGGTAGAAACCGAGACAGATTCCTGTTCTTACTAGAACAAAGCAACAACACAGAAGTGGACCAAACACTGAAACTCAGCGGTTTTAGCTGGACAAAGTTCCGTAAAACCAGCAACACCCACTCACAGATCTGGTTAAAGTTCCCTGCTGTGATCATACCTTGGAACAGGTCGTACAGGACGAGGGATATAAGGTGTCTGTTCTGTTGTCTTGGTGAGAGAAACTCTGATACAAACGTGTTTATCATCTGTTCTTTAGGGAAGAAATCAGTGACAAGATAGCAGATAACAGCTGCTAAGGGTTTAGCTTGAGTATCACAACAGTGTCCCACACAATCCAGAATTTTCCTCATCTTGTCCATGGCTCCAGCCAACATTTGGTCAGTACTATCCTGATCTCTCTCTAAGTTAATAACCCTGCTTCCCTCCCTACCACAATACATACACGTCATCAGCAGACCAAACGCAGACAGACACTTCTGCGGATCATCTCTCTCCAGCTGGTTTGTAGAGAGGTGAGTTAGCATCTCAAACTCAGCTGAAGGAAGACTGAACGATAAGACCAGACGTTGGAATCCCCTAATAACAAACTGGTACAACATGAAGGGAGTGGTTTGCTCTGACATGCATTTCATACCGAATCTCATGAGCAACATGGTGAAACCCTCACAGTTCTCACTTTCCTCTGGGAACTTCTCCCGGATTATTACAGCAACAGCCCAAACTGAAGCAAGATAGTTGATAGGCATGGTGGTGTCGTACACTAGCCGATTCATCACAAATTCTGCAAGTATCGCCACTAAATTCCCTTCAAAGCAGCCCAGTTGAGATTCAAGCAGATAAAATGAGCCATTTAAAGCGGATTGTTGGAGACAAAGCGAGTCAGATGTCAGAGCTTTTTCAATGAACGGCATCAGTTTCTCTCCCTCCTTATCAGCCTGGAGTAAAGATATAGATTTACAAAGTATGAATAGTAACTTGGAGTGAACTATGGTGTCTTCTAAAGGATGATTTATCAGGATTCTAAGAAAGCCATCTACCATCCACTGACAGTGATGGGTCTTTTGGAACATATCCGATAGCTGACTGACAGAATCGATTATTTGATTCAATAGGGCTATTGGTATGTTAGATTCGGGCAGGGTCCACTCCGCAAATAAATCTACAAGGAAGTGGAGACAGGAAAGAATGTCTGGATTGTCTGAAGAATCATCATAAAGCTGCTGAGACCTCTCTATGATTCCCTCGTTATCTAAGTCCGTGACGTCATTGGTGATGATTCTTTCCCGTAAAGCAGTGGCACTGTAATAACCATGGCAGTAGGAACTAGATGCAGGGATACGATTCAGATCATGGATAAACACCCCCACTTTGTCAATAGATTGAGCAGATGCCCCAGTGTCGATTAGCTGGTACGAGAACTCTGAATCAATGTAAGCATTGAGATCAGGAAAGAATGGGTGGTATGTTGGGGTGAGCTTGCTTGAATTCAGTAATTTATCAAATACAAGCTTGTGAGGAAGTATCATGCGCTGACCCATAGTGGTCGTCAGGAACGGAACAGTTTGTGTTCTAGGAAAGTGCTGGTAAATGCTCGTCTTGGGTGATCCAGGGACAGGGTGTAACATAGTCTGCATCAACAGGGCCGTCATACCTCTGACAGCTAGTCTGTTTACCACACTCAACTCATTTATCTCTTCTCTCATCATATCTGGATCAAACCTGTAGGTTATCATTCCTAGCATTGTTACCCACAGCTCTTCAAACTGTCGCTTTGTAGACCATCCAAAGGAGAGGTTCCTGTAGAGGAAATCTTCTAAAACTTCTGAGTCTTTCAGGAAATCAAGCTCAATAGATGATAAACTGAACTCCGCAGCATCTTCTGGCTTGGTTGTTGTCAGTGCTAGAAGAGTTGGTATCCTAAGAAAACTACTCACACAGGGTAAAGATGCAAGAGAAAGGATACACTTCTTTACCACGTTCAGATCTGATATCGAGTGGTGAGTCTTATCAGGCATTTTGTACAGAACGAAGTTTACCATCAGTCTAACTTTATCAATCTTGCTGTCCGGACTTGGCTCTGATTTTGTGAGAGTTTTCCCAAAGAGCTGGACAAGAATGTGATAAACATTCTCCACAATATTCATGTCTTCTCCGTAGTGTATGACCGCACAGGTGTCTCGTGTGATGATAATTGCTAATAACAGCTCAAGAAGCTCCAGACTTGTAGATGCTTCAGCAAACTTTCCAAAGTGATGATTCACCATCATCGCCAGAGCTAGCAGTCTGGTTATAGCATGGATGTGATACGGATCAAGATACGCTATATCTGGATACAAAATAGCAGTGTTCAACAGCGCAGTTACAGCTCGGGTATAATTCCTCAGCTGCCTCCGCCACTTCTCATCTTCCCAGTCCTCTTTATACAGCAACATAGCTTGGTGGTCTGAGAAAGATGACGTGTCAACAAACAGGGCTATACTTTTGGGCAGTGAAGTTGAGTTCGATTTGGAGTGGGTGTGGGTATGTTTAGTTTTCTTGGGAGCTGGTGAGGACACCCCTGTTAAGACTGCTATTCTTTGTAACAGCTGACTTTTAGCAGACAGCAGTATAGCTGGGAGTTGTGGCAGTGGTTCATCTGGGTCGATGTAGGCAGATTTCTGTGAACATAGTTCTTTTCTTCCTAGATTTATCATCCCAACGAAGAGTTCAGTGTCAAAGTCGGGGTTGCTCAGAATGTTCTTCAGGATGTGAAGCGGCATGTCCCTCAAAACCGGTACAATCTGCGCGGGTTCACAGGGATATGTGCAGAGTTTTTCAGAGAAGCGTTTTTGTAAGCCATCATAGGTCAAGTTTTCAGCTTGACCATTCATTATCAAAGCCCTGGCAATGTCATCAGAAGGAAGTTTATGATGACCAACTGTAAGAAGACATTCGTTAATCTTTTCCCTGACAGTATTGGAAGCAGCCGGATGTTCGAAAAGTTTATCCAGATCCTGCAAAGCCTGGATTGCTGCAGATTTCTCTATGTCACTGATCTCAGGCATGACCATTCTCAGGTACTGAACGGTGTAGTTAGCGGAGAAAAGTATGGCTGAGTATCCCATGCTCTCCTTACTCTCTTCAAGGATGAGAGATAACATTTCAGCGTATTCAGGCAGAGGTAAAATTTTAAGTGCACTGATTTGAGCGATTGTTTCCCGAGAAGAGGTTGGTTGGTCTGCAGAACCATTGGTGAGCTCCAAATATTTCAACACAATGGAATCATCAAAGGAGAATTCATCCAAAACAGACAAAGCCCTGCAAATGTTAAGGCACGTGATAGCACACGAGGGATGCTTGACAGACAAACACACAACCTTCTTCTTAACTTCAGAGAAATCAATGTCAGTAATATTAAATTCACGATCTTCTCTGATGTAGTAGACAAGTTTGTGGACGTAATTTAAAGAGGAGAGCGATGAGAAAGCACGCTCTGTGTTTTTCAATAAGTGATCCAGATTCTCGTTTACCGCCCAGAGCAGGAATCTTAAAAACTTCATAGCAGGAGGTATATCCGCTGTATCTTTAACCCCCGTGGTAGCCAGCATTGCATCACTATTTTCAGTCATTGTCTTCTGGAGGTGACCTTTTGTTATGACAATTAACAAGTACCTCAGGATAAGACAGATGTAAGAACACTTGGACGTCATGGATGTTGCAGCAGAGATGAACTCCAGCAAGGTCTCTATAATGTTGATATCATCATGACTGATAATATCCAACAAGCGGTGCATGGAGACCATGACTTTGTGAGATGACACGTCCAATCTTCCCTGACTGATAGCAATGGATACAGCGGACCATACTGTAGCCGAGTATCTCTTAAAATTTCTCGGATCCACCGAATACCAATGTAGAACAATCCAAAGAATATCAATAACTTGGTAATGAATCACATTCTTCAACAAAATACTCTCTACCACTTCTCTTTGAGTGATGATGTTCAGATCATTGTTTGATTCTTGTACTACGAACAGCTCGTGGATCAGGGGGTATAAGGAGACGGAGATACTGGCAGTGTTGAGTTGGCCACTTGCCATGGCAGTGCCACATAGTTGCATAATCCTGGGTATGTCGATTATTTCATTCTCGTTGTACTTTTCTTTTGTCAACATGATAAGGAATTGGAAGAGTGTAGGAAGAAGCTTGGAGGCTTCTCTGACTTGTCCTTGTTCGATGTATTCGAACTGTCTGAGTAGGAAGTTTACAAACACTTTTCCAGTGTCCAGCAGAGAATAATTGACTCGAAGACGGAGGAGGTCGATGAGCAGAACAAGAATCTCACCCTGGACTTGGGTATCGTTTGTCAGAGTAGTGTACAACTCCAGAGATTTCATAACATTTGCTTCAAAATACCTAATGTAATTCTGCATGACAGGCTTTTGATCAGGCTTCTTCTCTGTTTTCTTTTTCTGATTTCTTTGAAACTTCTTTCCGAAAAGCTTTGCAGCAAAAGACGACTGCTCCTCATCAGGTTCAGGAACCTCTTCCTCAGCTTGTGGCTTTGTAATGTAGATGTAGGGAGAGTACTTAAAGTACTCTATGTGGACAGGAGTGCTGACAATTGTAGGAATGGGTCGTTTAACACTCAACTGGCTTGCTCTGGTGGAACTGTTCAAGTTTGTACAGATAACGTTTGTTCCGAATAGTGATGCTAACAGGTACCTTGTGGTTGTAACACATTGGATAGGCTCCTTTTTCAGCAGTTTTGTTAAATACTCGTTAACTTCCTCAGAAAACGAACCAACATTCTTCAACGAGCTGAACTTCAAGATTTCCTGAAAGAGAGACAGGGTTCCTCGGAGTACCAGAACAAACTTCTCGTCAGACTGCAGATCAAGGGATACTTTATGTGCTTCATATGACGCTTTTAAGTTCTCATACAGCTTCATGTAATGAGGTAGTGAGGTGAACGCTCCAACTTTACTGTTACCATCTTGTTCAACTACAGGTTCCTCATTTGCATCATCATCCTTTTTCTTCCGTTTGTTCGTCACAGCTGACATCTTATCTTTAAAGTTGGAGTTATCAGCCATGGGGTCCTCTTCAGTACAGACGTGACTGCAGATATTCAGTACCCTCATGATGTGGTATACTAAAGACTGGATGATCTCCACGAGGGTCTCATCGTTCAGGAGAGACCACGAGAGGATGAGGTCAGCTGAGTAGGAGTTGTTGGAAATGAGATGCTTACAAGTTGCTCCGAGCAGGTTGGTTAGTGTTGTAAGGAGGTTTTGGTGGCAGGAAATGTCGTACATGTACATTGATGATGTTAGGTGTTGGGTGAGAAACGAGATGAGACCGCTGGAGCTACTGAGGACTATGCCCTCTTGAATGTGGTGGGAGTTTATCTTTTGTTGTTCAGCCGGGATGGATATTCCCCAGTATTTGAGCATCTCACAGTTTACATACTTTTTCGAGAGACAGGATAATGTCTCGATACAACCCCTGACCATTTCAGTTGATTTTGAGGATATCATCTGTTCTAAAATGATATTTATCAGCCTGCTGAGAGAATCAACGTTCTGGGAAGTCTTACACTCCATGTGTTGACTAGAGTCACTGGGTAGACAGATAGCATACTGAGGAGGGTTAACAAACTCGTTGCTAACCAGGAAATCAGTCCTGATGATGTTGACTATGCTGGTGTCACGTGACGTGGTAAAACAGAGGTTGTCCGTGATGGAGGCAAAGCAGAGTGAGCAAGCTGATTGAACTCGGACATCCTCATCTTTCAGCATTACAAACAAAGCTGTGATCACCTCTTTTTGAAGGTAGCCAGCCCGGTCTGAGAAGCAGTGAAGGTAGGAGAAGTTGATCTCTTTGATGACTTCAAGGAGGGATGTCTTGACCAGCCAGTATGAGCTGAGATGCAGTTGTAGAAGTGCCTCAATCAGGTCGATAACCAGGTCACTGTACTTCGTCTTCATCAGAGCAGGGATACATATCTTAGTCGCGTCACAGCACGATTTGTGGACTTTTGAAGATTCATCCTTGATCCCTTCAATGAAAATCCCGATGTACTCCTCACAGTTATCAGACCAATTAAGGTAGTAATTCTTTTGTAAAAAGTGAAGAATGTAGCTGCCACCCAGCGCCATGATATTACCCTGCAACATAGGATCACAGTTTGCTTTGAAAGTACCAGGGAGATGGGCAAGGTGGTCTGAGAGAACTTCTGGTGAAATAACAGTTAGTTCTGTCAAACAGTTGATGACAAGAGATTTAACGCTCACCCGTGCTCCTTTCACCACAACTCCGTCCTTCACCAAGAAGGTTTCAGCTAAAAATAGCGCTGTTTCAGTAAGTAATATCCCGTTTTCTTTGAACAGATCAAGATTACCACACAAATCTTCCATCTTGATAGAGAATGCACCACCCTCTATCTCCGTTGCCAGAAGCATGTTCTTATTGGAATGCTTGGTGCCGATCATGAAGTCTCCCAGCTCTTTTCCTTTAAATCTCTCATTCCAACTCTGAACATCCGCTAGAAGAAGTGAAGACAGTTGCCGGCCATTTTGTTCTATAAGCGTCTGAAGAGTTGACAACGCTGCTGTGATAACATTGTGGTCAGTATGAGAGAGCGACCTGAATATAACCAGGAATGTTATGGAGACATGATCTAGGTTGAAGAAATATTGATCCTCCTCCTTTCTAGGAAGCTCTGAAACAGAAACCAGGATCTTCCGGAGTCCGAGAAAACCTCCGATAAGTGCATGAGGGGAGGCGTCGTGTGTGATAGTAACCAACATCTTCTCCAGGGAGATGGAGTAGAATATACCAGGTTTCAAGCAGCTGTGACAGAGTGATGTTATACATTCCGCTGCCATTCTCCGCGAGGAGGAGAGTTTCGAGACAAGGATCTCAAAAAGATTGCTCAGAAAACTATGAAGCTCACTCTCACTGAAAAACGGTCCGAGAACAGTCACAATCTTAGGCATGGAGTTTATCAGGGACTCCTGGATCCCCTCATCCTCCCTATTACACACAGCTATCAACAACGGCAGCAGGTTCATCACATACGCCCTACACTTCTGTGGCTTGATAAGATAGGCCAACTCAGCAAATCTCACTATAGCAGCCTTAACCCTCCTGGGTGAGGCATTCCTCTTGATCTCCTTGAAGAGCTCCACTTGAATCCTGCTACTGTCCGAGCCATACAACTCGTTTATAAGATGGTTTAGCCCTCATCAGCAGCAACTCTAACATCAGCCTCCTTATCATTGCAACTCGCCAGCAAGTTCTCAAAAGTAAGGGAGATAAGATCATTGTAGTCCTCGAACTGAGTGGTGGAGAGTTGGGAGAGGGAGAAAACAATAACTTTTACAGCAGCGACCCGGGATTGAGGGGTTGCTTCTTTTATCTCATCGGGGGAGAGGGATGTGGCGGTGTCTATGGGGACGGTGGGTTGGAGCACTTCGATTGATTTGAGGAGTTTGTCCGCAAGCGTTGCCATAGCATGGTCCTGGGAGAGGAGAGGGTTTGAATAATATGCGAATTATTTTGTTTACATAATATATATTATATCATACGATATGCATTTATTTCTATTGCAATTGTGTACGGTAATTTTTATTCAAAAGTAATATCACATCGAGACAAATTGTATGCAATAAAACGCAACGTCGGCTAAAATAAATGTAAAAATTGAATCTAGTAACGCTAGGTTAATAATGAAATATCGTAAGATAGCAATTAGCACATTACAATATAAAATCTGAATTATATTTCAAATAAGTTATAAGTATGTTAAAGTCAGGTTGAATAATAAAATTAGTACATAAAAGATATCAATGTGTCTCTGTAAGATGTTTAAGTCATTTCGACAAATCTTGACCTTAATGTCCTATCATTTAGCTGCAACCTCCTCTACTCTCATCTCTTCAACCCACACAGGCCACAGCAAACAGAATGCACATTGCACATTTCTCAAATCTCAAAGATAACACATTAGTATCATGATGACGTCACAATAGAATCATGACGTCACCACACCCCCTGTTTCATGTGTTCCCAACAGGTATAGAATCATACAGTTTCTTAGCACACACACTTGGCCCAGAATCCTCGTACTCTGACTTAGTGACTCTGATACTGTGGTACCCTGGCCACCCTCCTAATAGTTGACCTGTAATATTGAATAACAAATAATAAATAATAAAGAGGGTTAAACTGCGGTTTTTACTAAGATAGTAAGATATTATGTAAGGTCATAGAATTTTAGACTCTCATAAATTGATGAGAGCAAGGTATTAGTGCAAGGTATTTAAGGTATGTACCCACTACCCAGGTTTGTACCCAGGTGCAGGTATGTACCCAGGTACTGAACAACGTAAGACAGCGTTTTAAGTGCCGTACGAACTGTAGAGTCAAAGTATTGACTTACAACAACCAGCTGTAACACGAACTAACAAGCTTAAAAGCAAGTTCAATAAACACTTATTTATATAAACTATATTATAATCTACCTCCTTTCCAAGCCTCTACAATAGGATCCTCAGGTCGGTACACGTTTATGTTAAACTCGTCAGGAGCGCACGATCTCACGTCCTTTATTATTCTCTCCTGGAAAATGGATATTATATTATTTCTATAACAGCTGTATTCGTATAACTGTTACACTTGCAGGCTGGTAGATATCACAATTATTCATTTCGGCGAGAAAAAATCGTGAAAAACCTTGAAATCGAATTTGTTTCATTATTCAAATCGAAGCTAGTCGAAACCAGACTGATCTAACTTTATTAAATTAATAGAACAAGTTTCCCAACCTTGAAGTTCTGGAACTTAGAACTACCCCCGATGATAACAATGTTATTGTAGAGATGAGGCTGCATGTTGACTGGACATTGTCTTATCGCGTGCACTATTGCTTCTGTTAGCCCCATCGCTTCTATACCTAGTGAGGGGGAGGGGTAACTGTTTAATCGCTGAAGTGTAATTAAATAATTGAAATTAAATTGCGATTAAATAAATGATTTGCATTGCCTGATGCTAATTAAAATTGTGTTAATTTCAAAGTAATTGATTTATTTGTACTGACTACTAACTGCAGAGTTCAGACTTCAGTACAAATAAATGCACAGTAATCTCAAAATCCTTATCTTAAGTACATCTAACTTGGTAACGTAAAATCTATCTATTTTATCAACGAAATCAATTAAAGTAATACGTCACGTGAACAACACAAGACACGTGATCAACACAAGACACGTGATCAACACAAGTCACGTGATCAACACAAGTCACGTGATAAACACAAGTCACGTGATAAACACAAGTCACGTGATCAACACAAGTCACGTGATAAACACAAGTCACGTGATCAACACAAGTCACGTGATAAACACAAGACACGTGATCAACACAAGACACGTGATAAACACAAGTCACGTGATAAACACAAGTCACGTGATAAACACAAGTCACGTGATCAACACAAGTCACGTGATCAACACAAGACACGTGATCAACACAAGTCACGTGAACAACACAAGTCTACTAACCTATATCTGAAGGGTTGAACAGTATCTCAGGAACAGTGAACCTCTCCAGAGATAACCTTATCATCTGTTCCTTTGTCGGGACTGGTTTCTTAGCCTCGTCAGGGTCGTCCGTAACGTCGGGTAAGTTCACGTAGCCTCTGTGTATGTTCACAAAGTCTGGGAGCACGTACTCACCTGGAATGTGTTGGAATGTGGAATTAAAGAATGCTCGACCATTGTTCGATAAATATATTTTAGATGTTCGTGAATTCAACTGAATTATAATATAAAACCATAAAAACATCATTATTTAAAAGCTTTGATGTTTGATTTTTTATCCACAAACTCATTCACAATCTGAGCTAAAGTTATTTATTCATTTTGCAAGGAATTAATTAAGAACAACAAAATATCAAACTAACAATAAACTGCACTCACACAAAACAGAAGGATAGTGAAACAGATTCACCTAACTTACTAATTTAGTAAAACAGATTTAAAACTAACAATAAACCTCAGCCTCAACTCACACAAAACAGAAGGATCCTTCTTTTTAGCCAGCTCCAACTCTTCATTAAAACTAGTACTCACAAAACACACGTCCTCCTTTATCAGATTACAAGCGTAGGTCTCCTCTAGCAGGTTTAGCTGACGGTAGGAGATCAGCTCTTTTAGTAGGTTACACATGTGCTTACCTGCAGGGGAGTTAGTGGTAACACCTTAGTAACACCTTAGTAACACCTTAGTAACACCTTTGTTTGTTTGTTTGGGGACTGGTTTGTAAGCCAGCCAATGTTTACGAATATAATATTAATAACTTTATTACATAATCATAAATATATATCATAAATAGATCAAATCTGAAACACAAATTTGCACGCAGTTAATAAATTTATTAAAAAAAAGAAAATGAAAAAAAAAGGTTTATTGATAAAAACAAAATATGGAGCACTCTGTGCTTCCAACAGCCTTTCAGACTCGCGCTAAGTTTGTTAGGGACTGATTTAGGATATCGTAGATATTGCTATGTTATGCCATTAGTTGGATATGTAGTGTTTGTGATTGTTGAAATCAATTAATTACGGTTTGTGCTGATAGGAAAATAGTGATAGTGGGGAATGTGGCAGTGTAAATATGGACCTGGAATTTAGGATGTGTGGCTAATCCATTAATATTAGTTGCTGCTAGTCTGTGATCAGTTTGTTCTGGTTTTTTTGTGTGCAAATATATATTCATAGTTTATTTTTGTAATATCATATAATATATAGTACTTAATAATAACCATATGACTAATAACTGATTTACTAATTAACTAATTAACTAATTCACTAAAATGATATAATGACCGTTGTGTCCAGTAACTTTCAAACACGTTGTGACCTTCTTAGACCTGGAATATTATGTAATAAGAAACTGGGCCACGTGTCATCATCATTTTCACTCTGCAGGTTCAAGAGCATGCGTTTTGTAGCCGATTTAAAAAGGTTTATGGAAAAAAGTGTGGGTAGGGTGCTTACATTTGCATTTACAGCATAAATTGAGAGTAAAGGTCCTTTGAAGAACATCGAAGATCTGAAATGTGTGGTGTTGTACTCGGCTAACCAGGATGCTGCAGTCACGTGATCTGAGTTTGCAGTGGGTGCATTTTCTGGGATAGTCATACAGATTTGTTGAGGGACTGAGCTGCGGAAATGTTTGATTCGGTGCATGAGAATTAGTGTGTTTTTTACAATAACACTGTGCACCGTGAGTATACCATTGTTATTGAAAAATTGTTTTGTGTGTTCTGGCAGTCGACCGTCTTTGTAAAAGTAATTAATGTGACCTGGCATTACTGCCCTGATACCCTGTTTTTGTCGTGAGAAGAGTGATTCAATGTGATTTTTTGCTGCAAACCCCCATACAATTGAACAGAAGTTTAAATGCGATTGAACAAAACTTTGATATATCTGTAGCCTTATTTGAATCGATAGATAACGTTTTATTTTATACATAATTCCTACATACCGCATCATTTTTGATCTAACAGCTGCTATATGCTTAGACCATGTTAGTTTATCATCCATTATAACGCCAAGGAACCGTGCTTCCCTTTTACGTTCTAATTGTGTGTCTGCAATATGAATATTTGGAGTATTATCAGTATTTCTAACACCGAAAAGCATATAGCAGGTCTTTTTTAGATTAAGTGCAAGTCCATTACAGTCAACCCAGCGTACAAACTCGTGGGAGAATTGGTTGAATTTTTGTATAACATCGTTTGCATTTTTGCCTTTTATTATGATGTTCGCATCATCAGCGTAGAGTATAAACTTTATCATACTGTTGATATTTGGCATATCATTGATGTAGATTAGGAATAACAAAGGTCCCATAATACTGCCCTGTGGAACTCCGTATGTAATAGGTTTAAGAGCTGATTTAATACCATTCAAACATACGTATTGCTGACGTGTGCTCAGGTAGGATTTAAACCATTGCAAAGCTTGCCCACGGATTCCATAGTGCTGGAGTTTGTCAATCAATACATCATGAGACAAAACGTCAAAAGCTTTACTAAAGTCGACTAGGAGTAATAGAGCAACTTCCTTTTTGGCAAGGGAATTCAGAATCGTGTGTTGAGCATCCAAAAGAGCATGCTCACAGGATCGGCCTGGCCGGAAGCCATATTGCCCTTCAAAGAGCGAGCCTTTCTTGTCAAGGAAGTCCATTACTCTATTATGCATAAGTTTTTCATACAATTTGGAAAAGGTGCACAGCAAAGATATGGGTCGATAGTTAGTGGCGTCGGATTTGCTGCCTCCTTTGTGAATTGGTATAACTTTAGCTATTTTGAGAGATGATGGGAAGATACCTTGACTAAATGATGTGTTATCATTTAGCGGGGGAGTAAATCCAGCCATTACAGCATGTGCATTGAACTTTAAATTTAGGACCTATGACGGGCCCTTGTCTCGGTGGCTTTGCCGAGGGGCATGCATTTACTGGTAAGGCGCTGGAAATACAGTCATAACATATCCAGGCAGAGCCAGAATCTACAATTATTTTTGCCTCAGACTTAGATAACTTCATGCATTTCATATGTTTTATTTTGTCGCAGTGACTGCAAATTAGGAACGAACGTGCTTTAGGAATACGTGTATTACATTTGTTGCAACGCTGAGATTCGTTCATAGAACTATGAGATAATGTATTATATTCGTTAGTATTATAGTTATATTATGATATATTTAAGAGAGTATAGACTTACTATTAATACAAAATATGATAATAATAACGTGACCTAGTCAGATACTTCTAACGAAGACTTTCAGTCCTGTGTGTAGAAAGTACCGTGACTTATCTACAGTAATTAAGTAAACTTCACCTTTACCTTTATGATTGACCTTTAACTTCTCTTCTATTACTTGATGGCAGCAGCTCACCGTGCATGAGCCTAATTTCAATATGTACAGTAATGTATGTGTCGAATGTTCAGAGTCAAATGTACAGAGTCAAATGTACAGATCAGTCAAATGTACAGAGTCAAATGTACAGTAATGTGTGATGTGTGTATAATGAGTACTGTGTAAATATCTGTGTAGATATCGTGTAAATATTGCGTCGTCGTTGTCTGAGTACGGCATGAAGTTAGGAATTAGATAATATGAAATGATTGTTATGATGTAGGGACGTGGACTATTATCAAGCAGGGTTTATTTCGCGTTTTGCTGATAAGGTGTGATATGGATAAGGTGAGAAGGTAGGGAATCTGGATAAGGGAAAAGTTCGTTTAAGTAGTCGGTTGTATTATGTGCTTTGTGCTTGAGTTTGAATTTGATTTAAGTTTCTAATTTTGATTTGAAATGACGGAAAATTTTTTTAAAAAATATAGTAAGAGTTTGTTCAAATAAGTTACGTTTGTTTGATTAGTGAAATTGTTTGCGACTCAGCGCGAGTCTGGAAAGTTGTTCAGGATTCGATATTTTTGTCATGATAATTTGACATTAAGATATAAAATACGTCGTGCTCAGGTGCCAAAGTGGCCAGGGATTGGATAAGATATCATACGTTTAAAGTGCTCACGTAGAGGTAGGGGTCCACGCCTGAACCCCAGTCCAATGAGCACACAGTTTACCCAGCTCAGCAATCTGATAATACAATAATAATCTGTCCAATATAGTTAAGATGTAGACCGTCACGAGCGAGGTGAGCGAGACTAAAACTTGAGTTGTCGAAGAGTCTGAAGTTGTCATGGTGAAGGGAGCACTTAAACATGAGTTCATTAAGGTACTGGATAATGTCGTTGTGGGTGTGGAATCGGTCAGCATGTACCTTAGTAACACAAATTAGTAACACCTAATATCAGCTCTTTTAAGCTTTTAGTAGGTTACACATGTGCTTACATGCAGGGGATGTAAACTTTGCTTCACTTCCATATTAATATATTATTATTATATAAAATACAAAATAGCGCTCACCTCCCACATTGATCCTCTTAGTGCCGGCTATAATCTGTTTACCATTATGATAAGGTATAATGTGAGTGAAGGCGTGCCCAGCGTCCACTATCAGACAACACTGGTTATCTGTGTGGGTCTGCTTGTAGTGGAATGCTGTCAGGGTACTGGCTGAACATCTGAAGTTACTATGGTTACTAACATGATTACTATAATGGTTACTGTGGTAGCTGCTGTCAGGGTACTGGCTGAACATCTGAAGTTACTATGGTTACTAACATGATTACTATAATGGTTACTGTGGTAACTGCTGTCAGGGTACTGGCTGAACATCTGAAGTTACTATGGTTACTAACATGATTACTATAGTCTATAATGGTTACTGTGGTAGCTGCTGTCAGGGTACTGGCTGAACATCTGAAGTTACTATGGTTACTAACATGATTACTATAATGGTTACTGTGGTAACTGCTGTCAGGGTACTGGCTGAACATCTGAAGTTACTATGGTTACTAACATGATTACTATAATGGTTACTGTGGTAGCTGCTGTCAGGGTACTGGCTGAACATCTGAAGTTACTATGGTTACTAACGTGATTACTATAATGGTTACTGTGGTAACTGCTGTCAGGGTACTGGCTGAACATCTGAAGGAAGATTAAAGCTACATTATTGAGGGTTAGGGAGATTGAGGGTAGATTCAAAACATACGAGAGTTATAAGTAAGATACGGCTGGTAAATGATAGACGAAGAAAAACTAACACAGATTATTCATCAGGTCCATAATATTGCTATTGTGCAACTGACTAAGAAATCTCATCATAAGAATTCAAAATATCTAAAATGAACTACTATACTAGGAAAGAGTTAACTATCAGTACTAAAATTAACTATCAGTACTACCAACCTAAACAAAGATTTAAAGCCATACTCTTCAAAGATAACCTCATCCCAAGCTTCTTGTATAGAAGTAAAGTTAAGTGGTGGTTCCGTTACTATTAAGTTAGTGTCTGAAAGTTTGAGAGGGTTGAGTTAATATTTTTTAGTATCTTGTTATACGATAATAAATCTTATTAATAAGTTTAAATTCTAATTAATGGAATTGATAACATAACAGATAGGAGCCAAAACTACGGATCTGCAAACAAATTGTAAGCACATGATTGATGATTTAACAAATTCATAAGAATTTAGTTAATAAGCTAATTAGCTGATTCATTATAAACTAATTAAAACCCGAAACCTCCAGGAGAAACCTTTAGGGGATCGCTAAAGATAGAGTCCCATATTGTTTTCTGTGCTGTCCAATTTAGTAGATACCCCTGAGAGGGAACCTTATAAGCTTATTAAAGAACTGTGCAATAAATTTAAATTAATTAATAATTACATAAATTATTCTATTGATATTGAGAGACATCACTCGAGATAAATCACTTTGCTCAATAGATTAACAGTTTTAAGGGTAAATCAACAAGCAATTTTAGTGATTGAACAAAGAAATCACTGTCACATCAAGAATTCCCTGAATTAAATTTTAAATTCTTACCTTCTGAAACGGACAGGTGATATGAATATTAGACATATCCTGACACCCGTCAATCTGAGTACCAACAAACTGCCTCCTCCTATCCTTAGGTCTCATTATCCAATTATAAAGGTTCTCAGGTGACTTGTCGGATCTCCAGCCGCATTTCACTGTGTGACTCCCGTTATCTAGGATCAGACATTTCTCTGCCATGGTGGTTTGTGACCTCTACTGTTTGAGAGTGTAATTAGTTTACAGTTTCAAGGTATTGTTTGTTTTCGATTACAAGGATGATACAAACCTAAGCTTCTTAATTTGTCAATTTTAGCGTTGATTCGCTATCATGCTTTGATTTTGAAACGCAAAAAACGCTGCCCTTTCGATAATATTAATGTGGTATTACAGTATTATACACTTATACGTACGTATACAAAAAATTTTGAAAATTTAAATTCAAAGATATCTTTCTCTTTTCTTTTTTCTTTAAAGCGTGCTAATATAATATAAAACAATAGAAACGAAACAATAGAATTGTGACACAATTAACGTATTCTAAATGTTCAGCAAATTTAAAATCACTGACATGATGAACAGATTGATGAAATTTATTATAATTTAGCAATGCATAAAAAACGCAGTCATCCGCGAAAAATAGTATTAAAAACTGTGAAACCACCCACAAATTAAACAGTTAAACATAACGAACTAGTCTAATAATAGCTGAGCTGTTCTCATCATAATATTAAAAAGTGTAAATTCTATCTTGAAGTTTAAAAACATAAAAATGTTACATTCATATAATTTTATAATTTAATACCTAATTTAGTTTTAAAACAATATTATGATAATATATTATAAGATTATAATATAATACAATATATAATGATAGTATTTTAGGTTTGTTCGGTGCTAGATGAAGGCAGGTTACTCTTTAGCTTTAATTGTGCCGCTTGATTCTCTGGCAGAACTACCTTGGTTCCGTCAGTTGAGTTATTGGAGTTGCCAGGGTTTTGCTCACCAAGTTTCTTTGGGATGACACTTTGGTGATTTGGCACAAACTTCAAAAGACCTTCGTATTCCTCAACACACGCTGTATATTCTGCTACTTGCTTATAAAACCCCTCTACAGTCTTCACGATCTTCACCTCAGCTTTCTGTCCTATTCCCGAGGCCGTCAATGTCATGAAACACCCCTTACTCTTTTCATAACTATTAACCCAACTTTTAGCAGCAGTTATAGTTCTAAAAGTACCACGCCCAAACAACATTTGCTGGTTTGGTCCTCTAAGAAAAGCTTCAACATCAGAATACTCAGAAAGAATAGCATTTGGTTGATGCCAGTTCATTTCAGGTTCAACTTTACTGACAGTTTCTTCAAGATATTCAATGCGAATAAGACAAGCCTTCTGTAAACATTCAGGCAGGTTTTCTTTATTTTCATTGTTATGTTTCATAATCATCTTGGTAAATGACTTGATAAAATCTTGTTGGTACTTTGGTAAAGATTTGATCTTGGTGACAAGAGTAGAAACCGATGCTGATAACTGTTGAAACCTTTTAACTCCCCTTACAATTGATTCAAAGACAAGGCTCAATGAATAGTCAATAGCATTATCCTTAAAGTCTTCCACAGCTATCTCGACAAACCGGTTTAGCAACACATTTAAAACCTTTACATCCTGCTTTTTGATCGACAACGAAATCGCAAACTCAAGGTGCGACAAGTATACAATCTTATTGACTAATGTGTCCAACAAAGAATCTAAAACTAAATTTTCATCAAACATATATCGCAGAACATCTGTGGTATGAGGGGTATCTGAGTATTCCTCCTTCAAGACGTAGTTAACGAGTAACTCAAATAGTTCGCTAGGGTCAATCCAAGATAATTGTTTACAAAAATGCAACAATGTTGGTATTTGTCTCTCTTCTGTGCTTCTTATAATATCCCTGATGATATTTTTGTGAGAATCGTCAGCAAATAATTCTAGTGTATCTGCTATAATCTTTCCTGCACTATTAGAACATATTCCGCGTTCCTTAAACACTTCCAACAAAGTTTCAGAATTTTCTTTGAGTTTCAGTATATGACACATTCTTAACATCTTGATTATCAATTCCTGCTTATACCCTATTCTGTCTACAAAACTGTCTAAAAAACCCCATAAATACTTGAATCCTTTCTCACCTTCTTCAGTGTGTCCTTTTTCAAGAAGACTTAACACGTAACTAACACCATCAAGCAAACTAGACTCACATCGGATGGCTAGAGAACAATCTGTCCTCCACAGTACGAGGACTTGTTTCTGATACAACAGGTTCTTAGTTCCTCCTTCATCTTCATCTGGACCAGAGCAACCCCCACCCAGATCTTCCGTCCCCCAAAACTCTTCATCAGACTCATTTTCCTTCCTTCTTTTGACCTTTCCGGCTAAAACTTTACGGTTCGGAAAGTTTAATATATCGGTTGGTGGATCAATAGCTAATTTGAGGTCACTATATTTGGAGGAGTTTGTTGACAATGGAATAAAGTTGTCAATAAATAAACTTCTGTCGTTTTCCTCCACTAATTCACAGTTGCCCGGACAACCTCCACTCCATCCATAGCCACCTGTGCAGTCACGATATTCCTCGATTGTTTTATTTGCAGTTGCAATAAAAAATTCCCAATTGTCTTTGCCTTGTACTGATACTTGCAGATCGTAATCAAAAGCACTTTTAAGCCTACGCACAGCATTCTTGTCTTTCCCTTTAAAGAACTTTAACGAATTTCGTTGTATAATCGCATCAGAATACTTGTTCTCAAGACCCCAACATAGGTACGATACTTCAGAAGAATCCATCAATAAATTCAATGAGTTACACAACTTAACAGTATTTGTAGATGCAACATAAGGTGAAGGTTTCGCCCCAGTTCCATCCCAACAAAGCGAGTAAATGAGAACAGCACGATAACCTGAGGTTACCTCATCCAGTTCATGGGGACAGTTTGAGTAATGTGCAACAAACTTACAATGAGTACTACTACCGACACAACTGTTTTCAATAGCCCTAGAAGATTGTAAGTGCTTGACTACGAAGTTCCCTCCAGTAAAAACTGAAGGAAGCTGAACAATCAATGTCCCAAACATGTTGTATTCATTCTCCATGTCTTTATGTTCCTCAGATTTGCTTCCTTTCTCATAAATGATCAATTTGCAGATCTTCCCGTAAATTGTAGCACCTGCCAGACCTAAACCAGACTTGATCTTATTTTGGATTAGTAAGTTAATCTGGTTGGTAAACGTTTCGTTCTTAATTTCAAACTGGGTTGGTTCTAATTGGTAACTGTTTCTTCCTTTGACAGCCAATGTTTCCTCACCCTTTCCACAAGATGTTTGTTTGTAAAGCGGCTTCAAACATTGAAATGTTGTGTCATTTAGAGGGAATGATAGAAGTCCATAACCATTAACTTCAATCAAAGGAATGTTGGGTAACTCAGCATCAGACAGTAACCCACTAGTAGCAAAGTCTCCAGAATTTGTTGAATCATGAGGTAATTTCATCAAACCCTTTAGATCACACTTTAGATATTTTAGATTATTTTCAGGCGAATTAGCATTTGATTTGTTGGAAGGTCTTTTCATTACTAGATCCGTGATAGATTCGGGTACATCTGACAATTCTTCATCTGAAGAATCATTCATATTATCTACACTGTCAGAGGCTTCTTCTTCTTTAAATATCCCCCTCCAGGCTTCTTCAGAGGTTACAGAACTTTCTTTATGACCTCTTTCTTCCTGGTCAGAGATTGAGTCACGCTGCTCCTGCGGTTCAGTTTCGTCAGAATCACTTTCTGAAGAATGGTCTTCCGAATTGTCTCCGTCAGATGAGGATCTCTCACGCTTCCAAGGAGTCATGTGTAGTCCTGAAAGAATATTTAATGTTTGTAGACCTATGTTGTTCATTGCTTAAACTTTATGGATCACCCGATCACAGCTTATACTCTTATATTATATAATGAATGCATGTAGAATGTATAATAGTGGAGCAGTTGGGAATTTTTAATAAGTTTTGTAATTTTTCGAGCGCTGGTTTTCTAAATTATTCAAATCACAATGATAGTAATTTAGCTAGTATGGTCAATTTAATTTAATTCCCAACTCAAGTACTCAACTGAAAAAGCATGCCATGAGATCTACAAAATTAAAAACAAGCCTTGACAAACATTGAGTCAAATTGTGGTATAAAAATGTATAAAGTAAAATTTGAACATGTCGACGATTAAAAAACTTATTACAAACTGGTTGAAAACACTGACAGTATAAATAACTTAAAAACAATAATAAAACATATTGTCTTGTTGGAATTATACGTTACCACAAGGCATGGCAATTTCTAAAATGACATCAATGCCCGAAATTATACTGTTAAACAGTTCTGTATATAATGCTCAGTATTATATTATTTAAAGATTTACAAACAATTCATTATTCTAGATTTATTATTTTTTAATATTATACATATAATTACTTGAAAGTAATTCAATAATATTTTAACATCAAGAAAATAGGTTCTTGGTAACAACTACTAGTATACTTATACTAGCTGTAACAATTAACATTTAATACATTATGTAAAATAAAATTAGTAAAAAGTAAAATTTAATGGTTCCGCTATTTAGATATCTTTTCAAAAAACAAACATTTCGTGCTATATTAATTAATATTTAAGCAACAAAGCATATTATGCAAATGACTACCTACAATCCACATGCAGTAGTAAAATATGAAATAAAATAAAGTGCAGCTTAAATCTAAGTGTCAATAATTTAACAAACAATGTTTATTCAATAATGGAATTGAGACACTTTCTAATCGATTTTACTAAGTTAATCATAATATACGACTTTTGCCTTATGAATAAAATTAATTCCATTGCTTTGCCGAGTGTTAATAAACTTCCCTAATTTATCTGATTATTGGATAAAAACTGCACGACGTGCTCTATTTTGTCTGATTATTTTTACCTGCAGTAACAAACTGTATTTTGCCACTTCTCTTTGGGATAACATTCTGACGATTGGGAACAAACTTTAGCAAACTCAGATATTCTTTAACACATGCTTTGTAGAATGCAACCTGGTTATTAAATCCTTGAGCAGTTTTAACGATTGTTACAACATCATTTTGTTCATCACCAGATGAAGTCACTGTCATGTTGTAGCAACTTTGGTGATGGCTATAGCGAGAAGCCCATCGTTTGGCATCAGTCGTATCTCCCAAAGTGTTCCGTCCAAAAACCATTGACCTATTAGGCCCTTTGAGAAAAGCCTCAACGTCAGAATGTTCAGGAACAGATGCGTTTGGCTGATTCCAGTTATACTTGGGCTCTCCTTTACTCACAGTCTCCTCTAAGACTTTGATTCGAAGTAGATACAATGCTTCCTGCAAACATTCCGGCATGTTTTCTTTGTTTGAATCGTACTGAGTAAAGATTTCTTTAAAAAAAGGTTTAATTAGTTTTTGTTGCTGGTCCTCGGGAAAAGATGTGACTATATTGACAAGAGTGGAAACAGATTCAGCTAATTTCGGCCACTTTGAAAGTCCAGAAACGATTGCTTTGAATATATTTTTGATTTCACCGTGAACAACACGCTGCCAATGAGGCTCATGGGACTGTCTTGATGCTGGCACTTGGGAAGCAAGTTTGACAAACCGCGCCAGTAAAAGATTTAGAACATTTACATTTTGATGACCGATGGCCAAGGTTACAGCAGATACCATAGTCGTCAAAGTACCTATTTTGGAAATCAGTTTATCTAACTCAGGATCAGGGTATAAGTTCTCATTGAACATATAATTGAGGACGGTTATTGTTGTAGGATCATCTTTGAAACTATAATAGTCATTATAGCGAACCAGTTGTAGATGATCTTGCAAAATATCATTGACGAGAATTTGCAATAGACACTTTGGTTCAATAAAAGATAAACCTTTACATAAACTCCATACAACCGAAATCTTGTTTTCAGGACTACTTTTTATGACTTCTTTGATGTCATCTTCAAACGAATCGTCGGGAAAAGTCGTGGCTGTCTCAGCGATGATTTTCCCATTGCCATCAGAAGTTATACCGAATGTTCTCAACATTTTCAGACAAGATCTGGATTCTTCTTTGCGTTTCAGAATATGACACATTCTGAGCATTTCAAGCAGCGACTTTTCATTTGATTTTATTGAATCTATCTTAAACCACAGAAATTCGAAACCTTTTTCACCCTCTTCTACCTTTCCTTCTTCTAAAAGACTAAGAACATGAGAAACTCCGTCGACCAAGTTTGACAAACACCTGATAGCTAGAGAACAGTCAGTTCTAACCAGCAAAATAACCTTTTTCTGATACAACCTGACCCTAGTTGATCCTTTATACCCACAAACACCAGAGCGGCCACTGCCTTTATCATCTTTTCCCCAAAATTCTTCGTCACAATTGAATGTCTTTACTCTTTTGATCTGTTTAGTATGAATTTTATCTTTGGGAAGGTTCGTTATAACCTGTGGAGGATCAATGTCAAAGATTCGTTCAACGTTGCAAAAAACTGAAGAACCTGCAGTCAAAGGAACAAAATCTTCTATCTTAAATGACCTTGAATTTTCTTTTAATTCACAATCACCACTGCAACCATTCCATCTTCCATAATCTTTACTACAGTCACCAGACTCCTTGATTATTTTATTTGCAGTTGCAATATACAGCTCACAGCTATCTTTTCCTGATATCTGCCTATCATAATCTAAAGCATTTATAAGCCCAGCAACAATATTTTTGTCCCTCCCTTTAAAAGATTCCACTGAGTTTTGCTCCGGACTTGCATCAGAATACTCATACTTTAAACCCCAACAGAGGAAAGGGATTTTAGGAGAGTCCATGAGCAAATTGACTGTGTTACACAACTTAACAGCATTTGTAGATGCAGTGTAAGGTGATGGCTTTATCCCAGTTCCATCCCAACAAAGAGAATAGACAAGCAATGCACGATATCCTGAAGTTAACTCCTTCAGTTCTTTGGAACAACTTGCGTAGTGCGCAACAAACTTGCAGTGAGTGCTACTACCAGTGGAACTGTTGTCGAAGACTTTGGATGATTTCAGGTGGTTCACAACTAGGTCGCCTCCAGTAAAAACTGAAGGAAGTTGAACAATCAGGGTCCCAAACATGTTATCATCGTTTTCCATATCTATATTATTGTCATTTAAATGTTCCTCAGATTTGCTTCCTTTCTCATAAATGATGATCAATTTGTAAATCTTCCCGTATATTGTAGCACCTGCCAGACCTAAACCAGACCTGATCTTATTTTGGATTAGTAAGTTAATCTGGTTGGTAAACGTTTCGTTCTTAATTTCAAACTGGCTTGGTTCTAATTGGTAACGGTTTCTTCCTTTGTCAGCCAAGGTTTCCTCACCTCTTCCACTAGATGTTTGTTTGCAAAGCGGCTTCAAACATTGAAATGTTGCGTCATTTAGTGGGAATGGTAGAAGGCCAACACCGTTTATATAAATCAGAGGAATGTTTGGCAACTCGGCATCAGAAAGTAACCCACTAATAGCAAAGTCAGAATTTGGTGATTGAAGTTTCATTAAAGCCTTTAAATCACACTTTAGATTTTCTATATACTTTGTGGATGAAATAGCATTTGGTTTGTTGCTGGATTGTTCAGCAGAATTATTATCTTCGGCTTTTATTGGTTCCATCAGAATAAATTGGGTCACATCTGAGAAATCTTTATGATCCGAAGAATCATTCATATTAGCAGCACTATCAGAGGCTTTTTCGAAGGCTAGAGAGTTGTCTTTACAACCGCTTTCTTCAAGTTTCACGTTTTCTTGGTCTAAACAATCCGAGCTTGTTTTATGCTGCTCCTGGGCTTCAGATTCGTCAGAATCACTTTCTGAAAAATGGTCTTCAGAATCGTCCCCATCAGATGAGGATCTCTTGCGTTTCAAACGAGCCATGTGTCAGATCCTGTAAGAATAATTACTGTAAACTTTGTGGATCATAGCAAATTATATACTCTTATACAATGTAGAAGGGAGAACTTATAGTGGAGCAGTGGGGAATTTTTAATAAGTTTTTCAATTTTTCGAGTGCTGGTTTTTTAAACTATTCAAACTTTCAAATCAAAATGATAGTAATTTAGCTAGTATTAGAATTATTATGGTTTATTGAATTCCCAACTCAAACTTACTCAAATAAAAATCATGCTATGAAACCTACAAAAGTAAAAACACGGAGTAAAATTGTGATGCAAAACTTTTTAAATAATATAAATTGATAAAAGTGAAATTTTAACAAAATATCGACGATTAAAAACCAGTACAAACTCGTTGAAAATACTGGCAGTATAAAAAACTAACAAAATGATTAAAAACATTTGTATCTTGTTGGAACTATACCAAAAGACAATTCTAATAAGACACTATTTATGCCCGAAATTTAGTATATTTGACAACTGTGTGGCTGTATTCTATTATTAAAAGGTTAAAAACAATTCATTACTCTGTGCAATAATTAAAGTAATTCAACGATACCCACAAGAAGATTCTTGGTTCTTGGTGATAGCAACGAGCTTTAACATAAATAAATTATGTAAAATGTAAATTAGTAAAAATCAATAATCTAGGATTAGGAAAATGTGTTCCATTATTTTGATCATAATTCATTGATCAATAGTTAAGTAACATTACATAGCATTGAAAGTAATTGACTAGGTCACATTCAGCAGTTGATTATGAAATAAAATAAAGTACTAGATTAATATTAATTTTAATTAAAATACATTGATGTAAAATGTACATTAACAAAGTTTATTTAAAAGCCCACTTTAACAAACTGTCTAATCGATTGTAATAACATCATAAGCCATAACCTTTGCCTCTTGACCAAGATTACGTCTTGGAGTGCTATTCTGAGTAACTAAACTTCCTTTAGCTACCTGATTATTGGAAGTAGGATGTGTGTTCTGTCGCATCTGATTTTCTTTACCTGCAGGGATTTGTTGACTGACAGATTGTTTTGGTCCACTTTCCTTTGGGATTACATTTTCCCTATTTGGAGTAAACTTTAATAGAGTCAAATATTCTTTAACACATGTTTTGTAGAATGCGAGCGCCACCTGTTTATCAAATCCTTCAGCAGTTTTAGTGATTACAACAACAGCATTTCTTCCAGCTCCATGTGGAGTTAATGTCAGGTAGCAACCTTTGCCTTTATCATGGTCCTTAGCCCAGCGCCTGGCATCAGAAATACCTTTAAAGGTATTTCGTCCAAAATACATTGACTTATTGGGTTCGTTAAGAAATTCCACAACACTAGAGTGGCGAGCAATAACAGCTTCTGGCCCAAGCCAAGTAAACTTGGGTTCACCTTTTCTTACAGCTTCTTCTAAGAATTTAATTCGAGGTAGAAATATTCCTCGTAAACAATCCGGGACGTTTTCTTTGTTCGAATCGTACTGAACTAGGATTTCTTTCACGAATGGTTCATTTAGCTTTTGTTGCTGGTTCTCTGGCAAAGATGATATGATATTGACAACAGTGGAAACAGATTCAGCAAACTTTTCGTATTTTTGAGGACCAGAAACTATAGCTTTGTAGATTTCAGCAATTGCAGTATCATCCTCGGATGCTCTTTGTTTCACCACTTGAGAGGCAAGTTCAACAAATCGCATAAGTATCAAATCAAGAACGTTTACATTCTGGTGCTCAATGGCCAAGATTACAGCTGGAACAAGATCTTTCAAGGTCACTATTTTGGAGATCAGTTTATCTAATTCTAGAGATTGATGACATAAATTCTCAACAAACATGTACTCAAGAATGGTCGTTGTAACAGGAGATGAAGGACTATTTGAACCCCATCTCTTTCGGTAAAAATGATGATCGTACTGGTTGGCAGTACCAGTGTTTTTCAAAATATCATTGACGATAATTTGTAACAGCACTTTTGGCTCGATGGAAGACAACCCTTTACAGAAATTCAATAAATCAGGGATCTTGGACTGTTTAGTGCTTTTTATAATTTCTTTGATGTCAATAACAAACGATTCATCGGGGAAAAGTTTGGCTGTCTCAGTAATAACTTCTCCCGCTTTCTCAGTAATGCCGAACTTTTTCAACATTTTCAATAGGGTTCTAGATTCTTCCTTACGTTTTAGTATGTGACACATTCTGAGAATCTCAAGGAGCATTTTTTCAGATGATTCAATTTTAACTATATTATTAGCCCAAAGATACTGGAAACCTTTCTCACCCTCCTCCATCTTTCCTCCTTCTAAAATGCTGAGAACATGAGAAACACCGTCGGCTATGCTTGACCGACACCTAATAGCGAGAGAACAGTCAGTTCTCCACATCAACAGAACTTTTTTCTGATACCACCTTTCCCTAGTTGATCCTTCGTTTCCACTTGGGCCAGAGCAACCTTCACCCACATCATCCGTTCCCCAAAATTCTTCTTCCGAATCATTTTCTTTCATTCTTTTGACCTTTCCAGCTAATATTTTACGCTTCGGGAAATTTGTTATATCTTTTCGAGGATTGATGTGAAAGCTTAGATTTTTGCAGTCTGAATTTGTAGTCAGAGAAACGAAATCGTCTATGTCATATGACCTCTCATTTTCTTCCATATCGCAATCATTATCACCGCAGCAACCACCCCCACCCCATCTATCATAACCGTCACCACAGTCACCATATTCACTAATTTTCTTATTTGCAGTGGCAACACACATTTCCCACTTATCTTTTCCCGATATCTGCCTATCATAATCTAAAGCATTTTTGAGTCCAGCAACTATATTGCTGTCCTTCCCTTTGAAGAATTCTAATGAGTTTTCTTTCAAACTCGCATCAGAATACTCATACTCTAAACCCCAGCAGAGAAAGGGTATTTTAGGAGAATCCATCAGTAGATTCAGAGTATTACACAGTCTCACAGCATTAGTTGAAGCAGTGTAAGGTGAAGGTTTCATTCCATTACCTTCCCAACAAAGTGAGTAAACTAGCACAGCACGATAACCTGAGGTAACTTCTTTCAGCTCATGTGGACAACTTGCGTAATGAGCGACAAACTTGCAGTGAGTGCTACTACCAGTGGAACTGTTGTTGAAGACTTTGGATGACTTCAGGTGGTTCACGACTAGGTCACCTCCAGTAAAAACTGAGGGGAGTTGCACAAGTAATGTTCCAAACATGTTATCTTCTTTTTCAGTGTCTTTATGTTCAGCAAACTTGCCTCCTTTTTCATAAATAAGGAGTTTGTAGATCTTCCCGTATATTGTCGCACCAGCTAGACCTAAAGCCGACTTTATCTTCTTCTGGATAAGAACACTGACCTGTTTGACAAATTCATGATTTTTTATCTCAAACTGGTCTGGCTCTAACTGGAAACTATTTCTCACTGAAGTATCAACTAATGTCTCTTCACCCATTCCATAGGGGGACTGTTTGCAAAGCGGCTTCACACAATTAAATGTTGTGTCATTTAGTGGGAATGGTAAAAGCCCATAGTCTTTCACATCAATCAAAGGAATAACAGGTAATTCCACGTCAGAAAGTAAGCCACCAGTAGCAAAGTCTCCAGAATTAGTAGAATGAAGTTTCATCAAAGCTCTGAGATTTCTCTTAAGTTCTTTAATAGGTTTCACATGTGAATTACCATCAACGGTTTTGTTAGCAACTTCTCCATGGCCACTGATAGTTTGCTCTATCTTTATGTTCATCGACTCATCAGGGTTTGCTCCTACAGACACAGTCATTGTCTCTGTTGATTCGGTCTTACATTGAGTTTTATCAGAATCTTGAACTGATGATTCGTCTTTACCATCGATACTCTCTGAAGAGTCTTTGTCAGAGTTGGAGTTACAGTTATCAGGTACAGACTCATGATCTGAGTCACTTACTGGAGAGTTGTCTTCTGAATCTTCTTCCTCTGAGAGAGAATGTTCACGTTTACAAGAGCTCATGTCTGAGGACCTGATGAAATAATATGGATCATTATTCATTATTCATTACGTAATATTAATATTATGATAATATCAAATATTATGATATATAATACAGTACATATCAATAAGAATAATTACTGTAAACCTTGTGGATCATAGATTATACTCTTATGCCATAATTGAATGGAGAAATTATAGTTGAGCAGTTGGGAATTTTTAATAAGTTTTTCAATTTTTCGAGCGCTGGTTTTTTGAATAATTCAAATCACAATGATATTAATTTAGTTACTAGTATGGTAAATTGAATTCCCAACTCAAGTACTCAATTAAAAATTCATGCCATGACATATGCAAAAGTAAAAACACAGAGTCAAATTGTAATGCAAAACTTTTTAAATTATATAAATTGATAAAAGTGAAATTTTAACTTTTTAACAAAATATCAACGATTAAAAACCAGTGCAAACTCGTTAAAAATACTGGCAGTATAAAAAACTAACAAAATAATTAAAAACATTTTTATCTTGTTGGAACTATACCAAAAGATAATTTTTAATAAGACAGAGAATTTATGCTCGAAATTTAGTGTTTTGCTACTGTGTGGCAGTATTCTTTTATTAAAAGGTTAAAAACAATTAATTATTCTGTGTAATAATTATTTAGGTAATTCAACGATACCCAGACCAAGATTCTTGGTTCTTTGTGATATCAACTAGCTTTAACATTAATAAATTATGTAAATTAATGTAAATTAGTAAAAATCAATAATTTAGGATTGGGAAAATGTGTTGCATTATTTTGATATTTCATTAATTAATAGTTAAGTAACATTTCATAGCATTGAAGCAAATGACTAGATCACATTCAGCAGTTGATTATGAAATAAAATAAAGTACTTCGTTGATCTGAATGTTAATTAATATACATTAATCAATGTACAATGTACATTAAAACAAAGTTTACTTGAAAGCCCAATTTAACAAACTGTCTAATCGATTGTAATAACATCATAAGCTATAACCTTTGCCTCTTGAACAAGATTACGTCTTGGAGTGCTATTCTGAGTAACTAAACTTCCTTTAGCTACCTGATTACTGGAAGTAGGATGTGTGTTCTGTCGCATCTGATTTTCTTTACCTGCAGGGATTTGTTGACTGACAGATTGTTTTGGTCCACTTTCCTTTGGGATAACATTCTCCCTATTTGGAATAAACTTTAACAGAGTCAAATATTCTTTAACACATGTTTTGTAGAATGCCAGCGCCACCTGTTTATCAAATCCTTCAGCAGTTTTAGTGATTATAACAACAGCATTTCCTCCAGTTCCATGTGGAGTTAATGTCAGGTAGCAACCTTTGCCTTTATCATGGTCCTTAGCCCAGCGCCTGGCATCAGAAATACCTTTAAAGGTATTTCGTCCAAAATTGATTGACTTATTGGGTTCTTTAAGAAATTCCACAACATTAGAGTGGCGAGCAATAAGAGCTTCTGGCCGAAGCCAAGTAAACTTGGGTTCACCTTTTCTTACAGCTTCTTCTAGGAATTTAATTCGAGGTAAAAATATTCCTCGTAAACATTCAGGGACATTTTCCTTGTTTGAATCGTACTGAACCAGGATTTCTTTCACGAATGGTTCATTAAGCTTTTGTTGCTGGTTCTCTGGCAAAGATGATATGATATTGACAACAGTTGAAACAGATGCAGCAAGCTTTTCGTACTTTTGAGGTCCAGAAACTATAGCTTTGTAGATTTCGGCAATTGCAGTATCATCCTCGGATGTTTTATGTTTCACACGCTGCATGTTATGGGATGGATTTTGTGCTTGAGAGGCAAGTTCAACAAATCGCATAAGTATCAAATCAAGAACGTTTACATTCTGGTGATGAATGGCCAAGATCACAGCTGGAACAAGATCTTTCAAGATCGCTATTTTGGAGATCAGTTTATCTAATTCTAGAGATTCATGACATAAATTCTCAACAAACATGTACTCAAGAATGGTCGTTGTAACAGGAGATGGAGTCCGACTATTTGAACCCCATCTGTTTCGATAATAATAATTATCGTACTGGTTGGCAGTACCAGTGTCTTTCAAAATATCATTGACGATAATTTGTAACAGCACTTTTGGCTCGATGGAAGACAACCCTTTACAGAAATTCAATAAATCAGGGATCTTGGACTGTTCAGTGCTTTTTATGATTTCTTTGATGTCATTTACAAACGATTCATCGGGGAAAATTTTGGCTGTCTCAGTAATAACTTCTCCCGATTTGTTAGTAATGCCGAACTTTTTCAACATTTTCAACAGGGTTCTAGATTCTTCCTTACGTTTTAGTATGTGACACATTCTGAGAATTTCAAGGAGCATCTTTTCAGATGATTTCATTTTAACTATATTGGCCCAAAGATACTGGAAACCTTTCTCACCCTCCTCCATCTTTCCTCCTTCTAAAAGACTGAGAACATGAGAAACACCGTCTTCTATGCTTGACCGACACCTAATAGCGAGAGAACAGTCAGTTCGCCACAGCAACAGAACTTTTTTCTTATACCACCTTTCCCTAGTTGATCCTTCGTTTCCACTTGGGCCAGAGCAACCTTCACCCACATCATCCGTTCCCCAAAATTCTTCTTCCGAATCATTTTCTTTCCTTCTTTTGACCTTTCCAGCTAATACTTTGTAACGCTTCGGGAAATTTGTTATATCTTTTCGAGGATTGATGTCAAAGCTTAGATTTTTGCAGTCTGAATTTGTATTCAGAGAAACGAAATCGTCTATGTCGTATGACCTCTCATTTTCTTCCATATTGCAGCAATCATGATTACCGAAGCAATTTTCTGCTGCACCCCCACCCCATCTATAATAACCGTCACCACAGTTGCCATATTAACCAATTTTCTTATTTGCAGTGGCAACACACATTTCCCACTTATCTTTTCCAGACATTCTCATATCATAGTCTAAAGCATGTTTGAGCCCAGCAACAATATTGCTGTCCTTCCCTTTAAAGAATTCTAATGAGTTTTCTTTCAAACTCGCATCAGAATACTCATACTCTAAACCCCAGCAGAGAAAGGGTATTGTAGGAGAATCCATCAGAAGATTCAGAGTATTACACAGTCTCACAGCATTAGTTGAAGCAGTGTAAGGTGAAGGTTTCATTCCATTACCTTCCCAACAGAGTGAGTAAACAAGTACAGCACGATAACCTGAGGTAACTTCTTTCAGCTCATGTGGACAACTCGCATAGTGCGCAACAAACTTACAGTGAGTGCTACTACCAGTGGAACTGTTGTCAAAGACTTTGGATGATTTCAGGTGGTTCACAACTAGGTCACCTCCAGTAAAAACTGAAGGAAGTTGCACAAGCAATGTTCCAAACATGTTATCTTCTTTTTCAGTGTCTTTATGTTCAGCAAACTTGCCTCCTTTTTCATAAATAAGGAGTTTGTAGATCTTTCCGTATATTGTCGCACCTGCTAGACCTAAAGCCGACTTTATCTTCTTCTGGATAAGAACACTGACCTGCTTGACAAATTCATGATTTTTTATCTCAAACTGGTCCGGCTCTAACTGGAAACTATTTCTCACTGAAGTATCAACTAATGTCTCTTCACCCATTCCATAGGGGGACTGTTTGCAAAGCGGTTTCACACAATTAAATGTTGTGTCATTTAGTGGGAATGGTAAAAGCCCATAGTCTTTCACATCAATCAAAGGAATAACAGGTAATTCCACGTCAGAAAGTAAGCCACCAGTAGCAAAGTCTCCAGAATTAGTTGCATATAGTTTCATCAAAGCTCTGAGATTTCTCTTTAGTTCTTTAATAGGTTTCACATGTGAATTAGCATCAACGGTTTTGGTAGCAACTTCTCCACGGCCACTGATAGTTTGCTCTATCTTTATGTTCATTGAATCATCAGGGTTTGCCCCTACAGACACAGTCATTGTCTCTGTTGATTCGGTCTTACATTGAGGTTTATCAGAATCTTGGACTGATGATTCATCTGTACCATCGATACTCTCTGAAGAGTCTTTGTCAGAGTTCGAGTCACAGTTATCAGGTACAGACTCATGATCTGAGTCACTTACTGGAGAGTCGTCTTCTGAATCTTCTTCCTCTGAGAGAGAATGTTCACGTTTACAAGAGCTCATGTCTGAGGACCTGATGAAATAATATGGATCATTATTCATTATTCATTACGTAATAATATTATGATAATATCAAATATGATATACTAACATACTACTATACATGTCAATAAATACATGTCAATAAATACCGAAAACCCGAATACTTATTACTTCAATTCATGATGAGATCACATACACAATAAACATTATCTTGCAACGTGATTTGTAGAGCTGTAATTATCAAAGGGTGTTTTAAAAGCTCTTATTATAGAAATTACAGAATATTTTGTATGATTGCTTACATTTTATCATGCAAATTGACTTTTATTTTTAAGTTAAATTTGTATTCACCTGTTCTCTGCAAATGTATAATTTGACACTTTTATTCGAAGGAAATACACAATTTTCATGAAAAGCAGATTAATAAACGATATACCGCAGAATAATACACATCTATTTTTTGCATAATATTATCATTCCAGATCCAAACATATCCAATAATCCAACATACAAACATAATAATATTATGTTCTTATGTTAGCCCAAAGTGGCCGTACTTGATGAAAATTGAACATTAGCTTTACATTGCTTCGAACTGTGGTTTATATCTGTATATCTCTAGGTAGCGCATGTTTTAGATTATCTTGCTTTTTATTGATCGTTTTCAGCTAGTAGACACCATGAAACAGGACATGATGGTAAAACTGCAGAAATCACTAAAGACCACTCAAATCTCTTTTCCGGCCAAACTGAACCATACTTTTCTCATAACTCAACACAAGAACACACTTATCACACTGCTTGACAACAACATGGAACTTCGGAAATCAGTGGAGAGCAAAGTTGAGGAGTTGAAATCTGAACAGATGGACAAACAAAGACAGATGCTGAAATTTCAGCAGATGAGGATAGAGACAGTTCAAGTCTACCGGAGCCTCAAGAAAGTTATGAAGCCGACTTGCAAGACTTAATACGGCCAGTGTTTAATAAATCGCTAGACAAGCCATTCCAACGACTGTTTATCAGATGAAGAGCTTATCAAAATAAATCTTACAAAATCAAAAATGACAGAGAGCAGTTTGTGACCCCCAATAGGACTAAATTTAATAAAATTGAGCTTATAGCTTATCAGTCATCAACCTACTGTCTGAAATGAGAAGAACCGACGGCCAGGTCTCATTTATAATCATAATTTCATATGAAATAACAAAATTAATTGTATCTTTGTATGGAGAAGCCTCTATCATAAGGGGTCGTTTATATATTATTACGTAATCAGTTTTTGAACAATTTTTACCCCCCCCCCCCCCCCCCTCCGTAATCAGTACACATAGCTACATAGCTATTGTGTTAAAATTACACTCGCGTAATCATTTGGAAACCCCCTCCTCCCTCGGCTGCTTAGGTAATATATGAACGACCCTTAATGTGTAAATGTTTAGAGTGCGTGATATTTTATGATTTGAGAAACTACCGAGTAATTGAGCAAGCTATGAGATTCGGCGTTCGGGAATTGTTTCTGATATTTCACAAAAGTTTCTGACACTCAGGTTCTGTTTACATAGGCAGACTAGGACGTTTTCTGATTCCATTTTAGTTCGAGCAACACTAACAAATTTATATGATATTTTGTTAAATAAATTATCATTGTCAAATATTACCATCTCCTCGTGGTTTTGGATGAAAAATAAAGAATATTCATTTCACAGTGCTTGATATTTTACAACGCTACATTTTCTTTACTGCTATTTATAATGCAATAATTATTCAACCTCATGTGGTTTTTGAAATGTTCAGATATTTGTCCGATTGAAACTGAACAACCATAGTCCAACAACTAATGCTTCAATCACAGCAACTTTCAGACTTTAAACAAGTCTTCCAGACTTTAAACAAGTCTACCGTAAAAGCTCAAAACAATGATTATTAAAGATCAAACACGCTACAATTTTCATCTGGAGTTTTGAGACTGCTCGTACTGTTCCATGGTAGACGGCGCATTCGTCTTCAGCTCCTTCGCCAAACTATCTTTAAAAATCTGCAAAGAGTTAATCTTCTCCTTCACTTCCTCATTCTTCTGCTTTGCCTTCTCCAGACAATCCTTGGTGTACAACTGAGGATTCCTTCCTTGGTCAATGTAACTCAGTACCTCGTAAGGAACCTGAACTTGCTCGAAGTTATCCTTTAGATCGTTTAGTTTCTTTAGACCCTTGACCATGTCGTTGATCTTGGTGTTGAGGACGTCCTGACTTTGTTCTTCAAAGTCACACGCTATGATTCCGACATGTTTCACAGTTTCCGTTAGGTCTTCTAGAGTGTCGATGAGCTCTTTGAACTGTCCACTTGTATCCATGGTACCTTGGGGCAGAACAGATAAGGATTAGAATATTAAATGTATAATCAATTATAGTTATTCGTTTAGAGGTTTTTCAAGTAATATAATTGTATTTTGATGTATTATTCTAAATTCTAATGATTCCAAAAATAATGGTATTTGGATTCAAACACGAACACGTCATGGAAAAGCAAAATTTCATATTTTCATCTCAGAATAACAAAAGTAATTCGTACCTAATTTATCATAAAATACACGGTTTTCAACTCATACAAACATCGCAACATTGAAAACCACGAAATCAATCGGAATCGAAAACTGTAAATAAAAACATCGACACACACGCACAGTCATATCTTCTGTAGATCCCACAAAAAGGCTTCACATCATTACAAAATTAAAGGTTAAAAATGAATAAATTAATATTAGAAAGAGAACATAAAATATCATCATTATTATTATTAATTAATGGAGCTTCCCAATAATGAGTAAATTATAAAAAAGTCCCAACTCCCATGTTACTGCACTTTCTTTCAAGCTTACTTAGTTATCTCATCAAGTTTTAAATCACACGGTCATCATCGGCTTCAATATTCCTTCCAACTCTGTAATCAAATAATACTGCCCGCCATAAATTCATAACTTCGATTATTACCGACAATTCATTAAAGTAAATTACCAATTAAATCACCTAATAATAAAAAACAATGCGATCGTTAGCACCAGAAAATTCGAAAAGTCTGACATGCTAGTTCATATCTAACCGTCCACGACATCAAGTCTGTTAGGACTGGCAGTACTCAGTAAGGATCTTCTCCGCCACGTAGTAAGGACCTTCTCCAGTTTCCACTTTCCACCCTACAGTAAGCACCGCGCCCTTATCGTGCCACGCTGTCTAATGGAGGTGCCATGTCCAGTAGAGAACATGTACACTTACAACCTGGACTCGGACAGAGTTTGTGCTCCCTGAAAATTAAATGTAACAAAACTTGACAAAAACCAGTCAGAGTATTGTATTAATATTATATTTCAAGCAGAGATTGCTGCTGATCAAGAAAACTTTGCATAAACAAACCCAAAAATCGATAATATCAAGAGCTAGTTTTACCTAAATTATATCTTCATTAAAAGACCTGGCAGATTTATTTAAAGCTGTTAGGCTACAGGTCGGGATATAAAATTTCAATTCAATAAATAATTCAGTAAATACTTCAGTAAACAAACCACTAGCTAACTTACACAAACCAGTCCCGGATGTGGTGAGAATGACCCCCATGTCCACAAGCTAAACACCACACAAACCACTCTTTTAGCGGATTGGTCAGGTTACTCTTCGTCTCTTCTGGGACAACTGATTGTCTTCTTTCTATCGTACCTCGCTTCTCTGGATCGGAATAATTATTAGTTGAAATAATTAGACTACTGCAGTCTGTATTAAGAACATAGTAGCGAAATACATTGTAATGCACATATTATTATTATCAAGCAAAGTTGATTAATATGGAATTAGCTGAATTACAAATTATGCATAGCTAAAGATAATTATGCTTGAAAACATGATAAAGTTACATATTCAAATATCATATCGCACATCATAAAGATATCATTAAACCAGATGACAATTCAACAATCTTGAAATCATGCCGGTTCTATAACTACTATTCGTTTGATCAGTAAATGTGACGAACCTACGGCCTGGTTAGGCTGGAACCGTGATGTAGTCCCCAAATGGTACATGCACAGAGCACACCGTGGTAACATTGGACTCTTGCAGTACTTTGAGGGACAGAACCTGAGTAGATAATGTTAATACATACCACGCTTCAACATTAAAAACATACCCTAAAATGATAAAATGAAGCCATCCAAGCGTCGGTCGCGGTCTAGCGATCCAGTATGGAAAAACAATATATCACGTGACCTAGAAAACAACAGATCTTATTTAGAGTTACCTTTTATCATGTGTTTCTTTAGAGGCGGGAGTACGGTCACTTACTGCACGTGACTGTTTAGCTGACGTGTTGTATACTAGAGTGGGCCGATCTGAAGAGGGTACAGGTTAGAGGTTAGAGAGTGGAGACACTGTGTACTGTTGTTTATTTACAGGACTGAGTGAATAGATAACCTTCATACATATATATATAGCATTAGCAAGTGTAGAGATTCTGTTGTTAAGAGTAACTGAGATGCTGAAATGTGACTTACAAAGTTGTTGTTTGCATTTCAGTAATATGAAATTGCTGTGAAATGAGGCATTGAGTAGACACATTTGCATTAGTTGGATACAGCTTTACTTCAACTTTTTGGAAGGGCTCAAAATTATAAGAGTTTTTCTTACTTATCCGAGTATTTCACGTTTTAATACCTGATATTGATTTGTAACAGGTACATATCACATTCAAGTGCTGCTCAATCTTTGCTCTGTTCTTCAGTAGTTTCTTTCCTTCGTTCTGGAACAGCGCCCTCTCTATCCACATACACCTCATATCTGAAATGAAGTTCAATAAATATTAGAATGTACCTTAGTACCTAAGAGCTAAGGAATGTACCTCAGTACCTAAGGAATGTACCTCAGAACCTACGGAATGTACCTCAGTACCTAAGGAATGTACCTCAGTACCTAAGCTAAAGAATGTACCTATCTAATATCCTATGGTAAGGCCCTATTTCGCTCAAACAGCGTGAAAGATCTGGCAGTTAATCTAACCCTAGACCCTTTACACCTTCAAAAACGTAAGTAACTACGTACCTAAGTGTCGAATAATATCTTATCGAAGTTACAGATCATTAAATTATCACATAAGTATTTGAACATTCTCAAGCAATATTAACTTTTACTGCCATTCCCACGGCAACATTATCAAATTACATACCCAAACAAAATGGCAGTGAAACTACCACTTATTTCTTACACCCACCGAAATATCTCAGATAATTCTCCATCACCACATTACTAAAATCAGTAGGATCAGTATCACTGATAGTTTCCATACTGGGCTCATAACGTTTAGCCATGGTCAGGGCTAGACACACTGTTTGCACGTCGGAGGTGTTGTCCAGGTAACTCTGCATTAGCTCTCGTAGCTGGTATTTCAATCCTGGGAAGAAGAACATTTTAAGGTCATTTTCCAACATCTAATATTATGACCAAATAGTACACTGATTTTTAACTTTTCCTAACATCTAGCTTGGCTGAATAGTATTGAATCTGGCACAACTCCAATAACTCCATACTCAACATTGATATTGACATAATATTATGAGAATGAAAATCTAAGAAAGAGCTAGAATAACAAACTAATTAACTAATTAACTAATTAATTAACTAATTAACTAATTAATTAGCTCCACCCACCAGTAAGCACTACAGCGCGTATATTCCCTGCAGCTACCTCCTCACTGCACTGACCGTCCACAAACTTCTTGAGACGAGAGTCCGAGAGGAACCTACATGCGAACCCTACTCTGTCTTCTAGCAGGAGTTCTCTGTCGTACAGGATCTCACTGTACGCGTCCTGGCGTCCCGGCTAGTGAGAGGGGGGGTTTGAGGGGTGACCGACAACTGAACTCAATTGAACCTAGTTCCCACTAACCAATCAGCTTAATTGGTTAGGGTTAGGGTTAGGGTTATGAAAGTGTAGATAATGATGAGTATGTAATTTGGAATAATTATGTGCTATGTTATAATTATGTTATGGTTGTTATGTAATATAAGGTTTTGTTAAATGTAAGTGTATAGTACCGTGCAATTTTAGCTGTATAACAATTTACCACATGAAAACTTTGGTTTATAGCACTTAATCATGTTATCATTGTTTTAATAGTTTAGGTTAGGACATTATAGTTTGCAGTTTCTCTTCAGTATTACCATTGAATTAAGACTCTTACTGCCATGAGCTATGGAGTTGAGATACGACAAGAAATACAACACTGGACAGATTTATTCGGAAACTTGTTGATATTGAGAATTTGGATGAAATTGTAACCAGTAAATTGTTGGACATAAGTCATTAGTTTAATTAAGATTAAGATTAAAGAGGCATGTTTGCAATAATAATGACGTGCTAAGTTAGGAAATGTTCCAGAAGCCTGTACATTGTCAAATGTACATTATTGATTACTTTTGCAAGGCTCCAATTCGTAAAGTCGAGATTCACAGAGTACCCTTGTGGAGCGATTTGGCTCCAATATTTATCAGCGGACATAAAATTGAAATTTAATAACACCGCTTTTAAGATAAAACTTATAATCAGCAGTGTTTAAACTAGTCATCCCAGAAAATAACATGAATACTAAGTTAAGAAAAGTAAATTATGCTTGAAAATATATCGTCAATATAAAATAGATGTTGCCAATAATATTATTATGTACTAATAAAACAAATATTTAATAAAACAAATATTTATTTTTACGGCACAATCAAACAATATCAATAATAAATAAATCAGGGGAGGTTTAAAGAGGTGTCAAGTGCCGAAGGCCATTGCTTATCTTTAGGATTTGAGAGTGACCTGTGCTTGAAACCCCCTCAACCATCCACTACGTCAATATACTTATAATACAAATATAGAAAAATATAATAATCTAAAATTGCTTATTGGTCTAGTTTGGTGACACAGGAGAGCCCAGTTGAGTTTTAGTTTAGGTTTGGGTTTTAAATCATAGTTTAAAAGGTTAGCCATGTTTCATGGCAGAGAGAGAGATATCATGTGTGCAGAGCCGTTCCGGATGTAGAATTTGAGATATAATATAGATTAGTTACCATGTATTAGGGTCATCTCGATGTTGGAGGGATAGTGCTTTTTAAGGTTAGATTTAATAAGTAATAACACCTGACGAGGCTGATAAGTCTGAATTCTTGGAAGAACCCGGGATTATTATCCCATCTTCATTAGCATCACATATTTCGAATACATAGGGGCTGAGGTCATTCCAAATTTTCGTAGAGGTGTACAAAAAGTTCTGTTGGGAGATATCTAACCTCAGTAATGGGACAATCAGACGAAGTTTTTCATTTCTAGGACAGAACTTGAAAAGATCTTTAATCGACTGGGGGACATCAAATTTAAGAATTTTGAATAGTTCCATAAATGTATGGTACATGTACTAAGCTAGGTAAGGTATAGGCATTGGAGCAGGGACAAAAGGATTTCGCGATTATTTTGGCCAAAAATCGCGATACCGCGAAATTTAACAGGCTATACATTAAACTATACATAAAATTTGTCGCGGAGAATGGGAAATTTCGCGATTTCGTACATGCCGCGAAATCCTTTTGTCCCTGCACTGGAGTGAGACTGTTATTATAACACAGCTCAAAAGAAAGTAGATGTTTGGTTACTGCAATCAGTGTACAATATACATGTGAGATCCTGCACGGTTAGCACAATTAGTACAATTAGTACAATTAAATATTGTGAGAACCACGAATAACTACCTCAGTTGATAGAAAAGTGAACATTGCCCTCTGGTAAGCATTTGAAACAGTCTTCCCTAGTGCCTTAATGTTCTGTATCCACTTCTCAGCTGAAACACAGAACAAGTCAAGCTAAAGACAGTTCTGTAAGTTTGAAAACAAAACTATGTTAGAGTCGGGTCAGTTTTATACATTTCCAGCTATGTAAATAACTGGGAATAAATCATTGAGATATTTGATACAGTAACAATATACTCGGATAACCGGCCCACAGATTTGTGATTAACTATGATGAAAATAATTATGAATATAATTATTTCAATGAAAATAAACTATAAATAAACTATTGTAATTAGTAGTTAACAATTAGTACTTACCATTGAAACCAGACAGTGCTAACAGCAGAATACGCTTCTCATCATTCTCAGGGGGTAAATCCTGCAAATAACGTTAGTTGTAATGTAAGAAAACACTGATAATAATTGAGAAACTCTCATAAAGACGGAAACGGTATTAAGATAGTGTTCTAGAAATACTGAATTATGTTACATTTCAAATATAATATATATGATGGCGATTCTAGTACCTTTTTTGCAATAATTATACTTGCAATCTGATCATGAAGTATTGATTTACTCACGTTAATGATGTTTTGCAGTTGACTAATAGCAGGATCAATACCACGGTAGAACAAGGTCATTGCCACTGCCTTGTCCAGCTGTCCTGATCATTAACTGTGTTAATTTACATTATTAATTATAATTAATTAATTAATTATTAAGTTATAATAATTATTTGAGTGAACAAATAATTAAGCTAGTTTTACATTATTAATTGATTTAATAGAGTTATAGTCACTTTAGTGGAAACAATTACGTTGGTTTGAAAGGAGAAAATGGAAGCGAGTACGATACGAAACATGATATGCGTTTCTTAACCAATAGAAGGAACTTAATAATTAAAGTTTGGTTAATGATAATTAATTATCATAATATTATCATATGAAAATATCCCACCTGAAGAGACAAGTTTCTTCACAATAGCATCACACCCATCATCATACCGCCCAGGCCGGGAATTAGGCCACCTGCATATCTCCTGACACTTGCTGCGCTCAGCGCTCACGTACACGTATGGTGCCGGCCGCGCGCCCATCTGCTCTTGACGCGACTCATGAGATTCTGTGGAACAGAAGTCGATATAATGAAATTAGTAGGATCCAAGCATTTCATGCTGTTTCTTATTCAAGAATAATTGCAGTTCTTAAATTTGGCAGATTGAAATTTCAGCACTAGTCTTCCAACTACTTAAATACCCGAAACATTGATTCCCTCTACAGTCTACGTGCAATTTACTAATTACTAATTACTAACTACTAATTACTAATTTACTAATTGACTAATCAGGATCATCTAATTTACATCTAAAATAACCTTAAACCTGAACCCAGTAAGGACAGGACACCGTTCTTAAACCTCAATTCACTGTCTTCTCGCGTGTCCTCCAGTTGTGTTACTCCCTCGAAGAACGACCAAAACGCGTACAAACTACCACTGCCAACTATCTTCTTGTTCCTGCAAGGGTAACATACATTATGTTAAAGTGTTAATACCTAAATACATAATTATGTTAATTATGTTAATTATGTCATAATCAACACATCTCTAATAATTTAAACATTAAATTTTAAAATAACACAAGTTTAAATTCATACATAGTCAAAAAATGACCAGGTACAGTACCAGCATAAATATCAAGATTATCAACATTAAGTTTATCAACATTAAAACATTAATTTCATCGTTTCATCTGATATGATATACTCACAATGTAGGATCAAAACCGTATCCATCAAATATTCTCTGTTTCATAATATCTGATATATCCTGACTACCAACAGAACAGTCTGCAAGCGTGCCTGAACAACCCCAAACTAGGTTATCAGAGGGTGAGAACTTGGCGATTATTGGCTCGTACAGCGCTATGTCGTAGAGTTTATCTGGGGAGAGGTTAATAATGGTGAGGTAATCCGAAAATGTTCACTTAAAATAAATATACATCGTAAAACTGTCATTTTTTCATAGTCTACTACTTACTAATATATACCTGCTGAAATTACTATCGAACCAATGATTATTAATTATTCATACAATAATATATGCACTATGCAGCCTAAAGTTCTAAGTATCATCAAAATGCCAAGAATAAACTTACATATAGGGACACCAGCATCATCATTGGTTTTCTTGCAGCACAAAATCCTATTAGAAACTTTAGGATGCCACGAAAAGTTGGAAATCGTCGAACTCAGCATTTCAGGGGCTCCTTTTTGTTTGTGTTGAGGTTCCTGATCATGAACCCCAGTAAACTCAGCTTGCTCACCATCTGATTTCTCCAGAGTGTTGGCTGGGAAATCTCTTATTTGAATGTGTTTTCCACCTTTTGTTATGTAGCTCAGTCTAGTGGGGTGAGTAGGGCTCCATTCTATTTTACAGATGTCGGCTGTTGGACTTTTTACACTGTAAACCGGGCTTGCTGTCTTTAAATACCGGCTGTCCCATATCTTAACATATTCGTCAGAGTGTGAGGCTAGAATGTGCTCGTATCTAGGGGAGAAGCAAGCACCGTCTATTTCCTGTATGTCATTGTTGGTTCTTCTGCCTGAATCTTTTGATTTTCCTCTCATGTCGAATAGTTCTAGTCTCTTTTTGCTGGTTCCTGCTACTAGAATATCTGCACTATGAGGAGACCAAGCCATTGACTGAACTCCTTCACCTTCACTACCTGCAAGTTTGCTAATGTAAAATAATTAATATAATACTTTAACACCAAGAGGCTAATTACTGATTACTAATTTCAATCTAGCACTGTGCATTGACATGCTTGAATTTTGCCATCATACTTGGATATAATTTACACTTTGAACTTATATAATGCTTACCAAACTCTTGAATAACAGTTGCTTTGTTTATATCAGTTATGAGGATACTCTTTGCTGTTCTGAATTTCTCAATAGATAATGCAATGTTCTCTATACACTTCTTGTTCCAGTCCAAAAGATTGATTCTTTTCACGGCTTGCCTCCTGTCAGTGCTTAAGTTAAGAATATCCTTTGATTCTCCTGAAGTAAAAATTATTATTAATAAACACCAGAAAATCATAATTTAATAAAATCATTGTGAAATTTCCTGTGTAAATTTGATTTAATTATTTCTAATTCTAATACGTAGAGCAAGAGTAGTGATTTAAGATGTGTACCTTTATCAATATCAATCTGATACAGCTTTTGCTGGCAAGAGGTTATTATCTCTCCAACTTTATAGGGATGGACGATGAAATTCTTATATATTTTCCTGTGGTGGGTGTCACATGGGTATATCGCCTTCTGAACAAGAGTGCCATATGATTCTGAAAGTTCAACATCTTGCTTTCTAAGACCACAATTTTGACTCTGAAAATTACCACAATTAATATCAATATAATATTATATGTAACAGTATGCAATGTTCAATTCCTAAAGTTGATGTATGTAATCGAATACAGCAATTAATTCATCTACCAATGGTGATCCAATGGAAATTAAACTGCTAAATTGAAAAATGGATGCAACAAAACTGAAACTTACATCAGGAATAGAGTAAAGAGTGAAGGTATTGTTGTTCAAAATAACAAATAGACTCTGTTCGGAGTTTGTCCATTTGAAATTGGAATAATCAGCTATCCATTTATCACTCATTTTACATACTCCATTAAACTTCCACTGTTTTATTAAGAAAGTTAGGCATTTAATGACTTTGTGTACACTTTCATACAGCTACAAATTGGTTGAAAAGAATACTAAATGTGTGAAACTGATCATAATCGAAAGATCATAAAATAGGTTTGCTTGTAAAGCACTATGGTTTCCAGAGTAGAGCATGATACTCTTAGAAGATTCTAAATCTTTTTTGCAAGGTCCCTCCTCACATCACTCTCAATCACAGATTGACTAGGAGGACTCTACCGGATGGCAAGTCCTCAGCACAACCCCCTGTGGATAAATGGCACAAGCAGGTCTTCTGATTAGGAGTCCTTTATAGCTGTACTATAGCTTTACAGCGTGAATATTCGGCTAGGTGGCCGGCCAAATGATTAGTACTTCCGTCTCACAAACAAATTCCAGTGTTATATAAGGATTCTGTTGAATCTATGCAACATCAGTGGCGTAACGTTGCCTGTTGGCACCCCCGCCGAAAATGCACTCCCTCACCTTTTGGCACCCCTCCGTAAATTGGACAAATTAGGTGATTTTAGAAGATACCCCGGTAAAATCTCAAATCAAATCAAAGAATCAGATCAAATCAAATCAAAATATAATGACACAGACATCATCACACATCATCAAAAATGTATCTACTAAAGTTTAAAAATTATCTTAAATCTATTGGCCTAAACAACCAAGTAAAAATGAATCTAATTTACATACTTTCCACTACTATATAAGTTGATAAAGCGTTTTTTAGCAACATGAGGATTACACACAAGATATTCATTGTGCTTCTCTTTATTAGTAGCATAATTTAATCCCTCAATCTTTCCTAATACTTCGTCCGAAACATGCAACAATGACTATCATTTACAGATCTGTTTAAAATAGATCCGTTCTAAAAAACTGTGTTTATAGAGCAAACCATGCAGTTTTGCAAGTACCTCAGTTAATTTTTCAAAATCGTCCCACATTCAAACGACGAAGATGGACCTTCGTTACGCCACTGCGCAACATATCACATCTGTGTCAGAACTCCCCGGTTGACTTTCAGATACTGTAGTGAAAATCAATATTGAGGGTTGAACGAGGAAGGCCAAGGGCTTACCAAAAGATCCAATATCTTGTAAGGGGACTTAAGGAGGCTCTCATTCGTCCAAGTTTGAAGAAACGTGGCCTTGACGGTGAATCTCTATCTAACTATAGGCCTATTAGCAATCTCTCATTCTTGTCAAAAATCATTGAGAAGTGTGTATCTATACAGCTCACCAGTTATCTTGAGGATAACAACTTGCTTTCTAAAGTTCAGTCCGGCTATAGGAAGTTTCATAGCTGTGAAACTGCAACAACCAGAATCCATAACGACATCTTGATAACTATTGACAAGAAAACTAAAGTTGTTCTTTTACTTCTAGATTTGAGTGCTGCCTTTGATACTGTCAATCACCCAAGATTAATCAAGAAGCTAAGATCTGCTTATGGAATTACAGGCATTGCTCTTACATGGATCAGGTCCTACTTGGCTAACCGTTCATTTTGTGTCAAAGTCAAGGATTCGTCTTCCTCAGCAACTGTTCTTGAGATAGGTGTGCCACAAGGTTCAATCCTTGGCCCCCTGCTATTCATATTGTACACCAAAGATCTTGAGAACATTGCAAGTATGCATGGGTGCTGTATTCATTTGTATGCTGATGACACCCAGCTGTATTTCACTCTTGATTCTGATGACCCATCACAGCTAGAGCACAATATGGAACACTGTATGTCTGATATCAAGAAATGGATGACAAACAATTTCCTTCAACTGAATTCTTCTAAGACTGAAGTCATCGTTATATCCTCTAAATTTGACTCAACAAATATTCCAGCCTCTCTACAGATTGTTAAGGATCAAGAGCCACATGTTGTTAGTGGAACTGTGAAGAGTCTTGGGCTGTATTTGGACAGTTATCTTTCAATGAGTGATCAGATTACGTCAGTGGTTCAAGCATGTAATATTCAGATCAGAAATTTGTGGTTTATTGCATCAAAACTGTCTTTTAACCTTAAGATTCAGCTTGTTCATGCTCTAGTACTCTCTAGAATTGATTATTGCAATAGCGTATATTTTGGACTGAGCTCTTATGATTTAAGTCGTTTACAGAAGGTGCAAAATTCTGCTGTAAGATTTATTTTCGGGAGAGGAAGAAAGGCACACACTACTCCACTACTTAAGAAAGTTCATTTTCTACCAGTTAGATTTAGAATAGATTTTAAGATTGCCCTACTTGCCTACAAGTGTTTAAATAATATAGCTCCTCCTTACTTAAAAGAGTTGATATCTCCTAGGCAGCAAAGTTTTAAAAATGTACGTCTTGATAATGATTATTTTTACCTTAGTTTTCCGCCCTCTCCTAACTATGTAAACACAGAGAAAGCTTTTAGTCACTGTGCAGTTAAAGTATTTAATTCCTTGCCATACGACATAAGATCAGCTGAGTCAGTTACATCTTTCAAGACCAAACTTAAAACATACTTCTTTTCTCTAGCATTTGATTGATTTTGCATTTACATAGGTAAAATGAACTTGTCATGTCTAATTTTCAATTAAACTAAGCTCAGTTAATGTAAGAGCCGCTTTAGAAAGCACTGGAGTTTATCTCCAGGATTAAATTATATCGAGTTATATGATTTAGCTATAAGGCGGTTTATAAATGTTGTAATTATTATTATTATTATTATTTGTTACGTCTAAATGCATTGCAGAGTACTGTACATTTATTACAATGAAATTTACTATGAACATGCATCCCTACATGTTACAGTCAAGAAAAAAAGGGGGAAAAGAGGGGGAACCCCAACACTCGTAGCTGAGACACCCCACAGCAATTATCCCCATTGGATCATTTCGTCCTTAACATTTTAAACAATAAGTAAAACAAAATGCAAGTAAAACAAAATTTAAGTAAAACAAAATTTAAATTGTATTGCCATATTAGTATTACAATAAATAAAGTAAAATATTCAAACAATATACACATAATATAGCAATGACCCTATATAATGCCTATTTATAGAAGAAACTAAATCTCAAAAATATTTAGGTCTCATGATAGACAATTTATTGAACTTTCATGACCATATTGATTATGTGAAATCAAAAATTGCTAAAAGAATAGGGGCATTATACAGGTCGAAAAATCTTCTTCCACTGAAATATAGAAAAATGTTTGTAAATGCTCTTATGCTCCCCCAATTTGACTACCTGGATATAATATGGTGCAGGGCTGCCAAAACCAAACTTAATTCTCTTGATATATTATACAAGAAAGTAGCAAAAATTGCTCTGGATGTTCATTGGCAGGAACCATCAGTAAATGTATATCGAAATATGAAGTGGTTACCCTTACACTTAAGAAGACAACTCCATCTGTCAACGTATATGTATAAAATTCTTAATGAGGCTGCACCATCATCATTCACAGATAAATTTTCTTATGTATCCGGAGGATCACGTGATGCTGAGAGGTGCAACCTTTATATTCACAAATCCAGAACACACAAAACCTTTACATATTTAGGTGCAAAATGTTGGAATACAATTCCAGAGAACATAAGGACTATAGAATGTAGTGTAAAATTCTCACAATGTATGAAATCTAAATTTATGTCAGATGTAATTCAAGGAGTCTCATCCTATGAAATAAACAATAGTTTCGACTATTTCTACACTCTAGCTATGTGACAACTGAAACAAATTTTATGGGGCTGGAGTTTTTGTCGGGTGGAAAGGCCCCCTGCGTTATATGACCTAGGTATTTCCAGAAGTATAGAACTTTAAACATCTCCTTTATTCGTTCCCATTTTTTATCATTGCCAATCTATTATTGTTCTATACTTCTCTGTATATAACTGTAAATAACATTACTAACGTAATCCCAAAGTGGGCATCTATGTAATCTTAATTGTTACCTTCATGCCCACAGTTCACTGTTAAATCATATCTTATTTGATCACTCATTATTTTATTACTCATTATGTTTACATACTATATCCTTATGTCCCTAGAAGGGTGTTCTGCTAACAGTTTTCGACTGACTTGAATGTCCTGCACAGCAGATTGAAGCTTCTTAAATTATTTTTATTCTTATTGTATTGCTGTGTAAATTTGATTCTAATTCTAATTCTAATATAAAATCAACCCTTTAAGAATTCAAAAAATTCCCTTAACAATCAAAAAATTTTTTACCCAATAAAAATGATATCATAATAAACAAAATTTTAACGTGTGGTACTCGTAAAATATTTGTTCCAAGGACCGTATAAATATTTGTTCCAGGACCGCGTCGACAAGTCCAACTCGGCGCGCTCCTGGTAGGTTGTAAACCTACAAACATAATTAAACTTACTGGGCCGCGCTCAGCCTGTCTTTCCGCCAAATCTCTATATGTTAATAAACATGATAGCCTGAGGTCCCCAGGTAAAATTAAACTTGAACATTTAATAATTTGATGTCAATCCATCGAGATGTCAATCCATCGAGATCCATCGATATCGTTGCTCTGCGAAGCAAAGCAACGATCGACGTTAATTGACGATGTCAATTCATGGCAGCTCGGCGCGGCACAGTAGTTGGTAGTGCATCTCGCGTCGCCGATCTAGCCAGAGAAGCCTTATTAAGAAGCCTTATAAAGTGCGCGGCGCGGCACAGTAACGCATCGCGCTACAACGATCGACGATGCGACGCAAGAATGCTAGTTTGCGCGGCGCGTCGAAGCGGCATAGTCCTCCAACTGATAATAAACTCATAAATATTAGACATGCTCATAAAATATAAAATACGCTTTTAACTATATTATAGTTTGTTTGAAAATTCGTCTCGATCATACATTTTTTTCAGCGCAGTTATATTCGAAATTTAATACAAATTCTAAAGCAGAAGTGAACGTTATTCAAAAAATATTTCCTCAACTGACTTGTTTTCTAAATGTTTAAAGTTCATAAATTTAATCGATAGTCTATCTAGTGTTTTGTTTCACGTTGTAGCCATGCCGCGCACTCGTGCGCAGCTTCGTCATTTGTGGCTTCTGCACCACAAAACCACTTTGTGCAATGACAGCACACCCATGAAACCTTACTGGCTGGAGCCTAACTTTGAAAGTAAAAGAGATCAGATAGCGTCTTCCGGTTTTTTTGCAAAATGTTCGTTTCGCAAAAATAACGTTTCCCCCCAGGGGGGAAATTGAAAACAACGTAGATTTTGAATTATCGCGAAAAGTCATATTTTAGGCCTTATAAAACTGCGTAGCTTTAACTTTGCAGATTGTTGTTCTCTGATTGGCTGGATCGTATCACGTGGTACACGGTACAATTGCATTTTGGAATATTTAGAGCGTGCAAATGCAATGAACTAGCGAGCGCGCGCGGAGTTCAACATGCTGTGAAAAGGCGATCACCCTGTAGTAATATCGCTAGCCAGTAAGGATTGCTGGGTATGAGATAGCCGAGAAGCTGCAAAGGGGGGGGGGGTTGATGGCGAGTTATGCTTTGTCAAAGTGGATGCTTTTTAAAATGAAACCGAAAGTCTTTAAACTGCGCGTTGTGTTGGTTTTATGTATAAGTATCGATTCGCATGACTTGTGACGAAATACCCAATTAGAGTTAGTACAAGCCAAACACAAGGTTATCTCGTGAACAGATCATATGCACCTGTTGCAGCCGGTCGCAGACCTTGGTCGCTATAATTGAGCGCTAAGTGACGTTAAGTGACCGTTGAGCCACACTTCTTGACAAATTTTGTTTAGAATAACGACCCAATCATAAGGTAAAAAGTATAGGCTGTATTTTAAGGGCTAATCTCAGTCCATCTAAGTCGTAAGTTTGGAGGAATAATACGGCTAATTTTGCGATTCTTTAAAGTCTTGAACCAAAATACCCTGCTGCGCCGTCAACTGGGCCCATGAAACCTTACTGGCTGTTACTGGGCCGCGCTCAGCCTGTCATTCCGCCAAATCTTTATATGTTAATTCCGCCAAATCTTTATATGTTAATGAACATAATAGCCTGGGGTCCTCAGGTAAACTGGCTGGAGCCTAACTTTGAAAGTAAAAGAGATAGCGTCTTCCGGTTTTTTGCAAAATGTTCGTTTCGCAAAAATAACGTTTCCCCCCAGGGGGAAATTGAAAACAACGTAGATTTTGAATTATCGCGAAAAGTCATATTTTAGGCCTTATAAAACTGCGTAGCTTTAACTTTGCAGATTGTTGTTCTCTGATTGGCTGAATCGTATCACGTGGTACGCGGTACAATTGCATTCTTGGAATATTTGGAGCATGCAAATGCAATGAACTAGCGAGCGCGCGCGGAGTTCAACATGCTGTGAAAAGGCGATCACCCTGTAGTAATATCGCTAGCCAGTAAGGATTGCTGGGCAGGGGGAGCTGAAACCAGGTTTTCGATCAAACGCTGCCATGTGTAGTCAAACATTGCCAAAAGTTGCTCTCGTCCAATCAAATCGCTGCTTTATGTAAGCCAAGCTCCGCATATGAATAATTGTAATTCAATTATGCATACTAACTTGCAAAATGCAGCGATTTCATTGGACGAGAGCAACTGTTGGCGACGTTTGACTACAAATGGCAGCATTTGATCGAAAACCTGGTTTCAGACCCCCCTGTGATAGGGGGTTACAACGTGATACAAATAATTCCACGCGTTGGCATACAAATATTTTTGTTGTGCAATTCAATGTGCACATGTTATATGTTCTGAGACCAAAAATGAAACAGTACTGGACTAAAAAGGAAAACAAATTTTTCAGTAAAACAAATTTTTTAGTAAAACAAATATTTTAGTGAAACAAATTTGTAGGTTTACAACCTACCAGGACGCGCGCGCCGAGTTGGACTCGTCGACGGTCCTAATATTTGGAAAAATTATTTTGAGTATCACCCGTTAAATACAAATTTGAAATTTAAAATTTTATCCTTTCTTTTATTTTATAGTAGGTTTATAACCTACCATGCACATAAGCACTGACCTTAGACCAGCGATAATTTCGGCTAGAAACAATATTTTTTCCATTGAACCAAAAGCAGCTGGTAGATATTACTCCCCTCTATCAGAAACAACTCTAAAGTCAATTTTGAGAGAATTTTGATGAAGACCCCCCCGACCTCCTTAACAAAAATCACACACTCCAGACCACGGCGGAAGAAAGGAAAGGAAGCTGCCGGGCTCAACAAATTTTGATAATTGAAATTGTAATTACTGAGTGTTTCATTATTCAGAAAATTTAAGAAGATTTGTTTGCTACTATTCGATATGCACTACTGTGATGAGGGTGAGATCGACAAATAAAACACATGAAATTCAATGCATAATGTTTGAACACCTTATTGCACAAATTCAAACTTTAATAATTGTAAACACACAAAAATTGTTACAGAAAGTGTAAGTGTAAGTGTCCTATCATTCCAAGTCCTAGTCTCCTCTGCGGTGGTTATGCCTGTGGTGCTTAACGCCCGTGTCCGTGGTGAGCCCTTCGGTGTCTATGCCTGTGTCCGCGGTGAGCCCTTCGGTGTTTACGCCCGTGTCGACGGTGAGCCCTTCGGTGTTTACGCCCGTGTCGACGGTGAGCCCTTCGGTGTTTACGCCCGTGTCGGCGGTGAGCCCTTCGGTGTTTACGCCCGTGTCGGCGGTGAGCCCTTCGGTGTTTACGCCCGTGTCGGCGGTGAGCCCTTCGGTGTTTACGCCCGTGTCGGCGGTGAGCCCTTCGGTGTTTACGCCCGTGTCGGCGGTGAGCCCTTCGGTGTTTACGCCCGTGTCGGCGGTGAGCCCTTCGGTGTTTACGCCCGTGTCGGCGGTGAGCCCTTCGGTGTTTACGCCCGTGTCGGCGGTGAGCCCTTCGGTGTTTACGCCCGTGTCGGCGGTGAGCCTTTTGGTGATGACGCCCGTGTCGGTCAGCTTCAGAACTAGCTATCGCCCCAACTTCAGTAGCTGTCGATTTTTCTTCTGAAATTAAATGTGAATTTTGAAATTATTTGTTCCATACAATGATCATTATCGAAGACAGAGTTATCATAGTATGAGCTGATACTGATCAGATTTGATTCACAGTAATAACAAAATTTTGATAAAACAAAATTTTATTCTATCAGTTAAACAAAAATTCAGTTAAACAAAAATTCAATTTTATGCCATTTATTACAGAGTAAACAAGTTTACAATAAATCAATTTGATATTTAAAGGAATCCTAATTCAATGTGTAGTATGGTTGTCACTCTTTAAATAGATTAGATATAGGTTGACGGGGCAAAGGAGTGTTCGTGCTGTTCGCTATTGCTCACACCAAACGGCAACCTAGTAAAATTTTTGTATGGACACCGGTCTCCATCACGATACAAAATTAGGATTGAAGAATTTATTGTATAACTTTTAGTGCAGTGGAGGAAGCGGTGTGGTGCATTAATAGAGTGACAGCCTACTGATTTAGAGTTGTTTTTACGTGAGCATAATGGGTATATTTTTGGACCTAAAGGCTTTACTATGGCAACTTTAAAATTGGTTCTTTTAATCATTTATTAAATATCACTTAAAAAATATATAAATCTGGAATCTGTTCACACTGTGAACCAGTCCTATAAAAAAAACCTCTTAAATCAAATATTTAAAACGTCTCAATAATGGAAATAGTCATACAATTAAGAAATTTACCAAATTCTTAATATCTACCTTAAGAGAAAAATACCTACCTAAGTCAATGTCTATACCCACAATCAATTCATATTTAGTTCAAGTATTCAAAGTCAAAATCACCATTTCACAGAATTGGTTTTATTATAATAAAATAATTTGTGATATGTGTACAAGTGATAAATTAATAAATTAATTTACACCACAAAATGTTCAAAAAATATACAATTTTTACTTTGCAACACTGGTTCCAATTGAATTAGAAAAATCTATGATTGGTGTTTCATTACCTTCGGCTGCAGCAGTGCAGTAGAGAACAGCTGCAATGACCAAGAAAAGCAAGAACACCTTCATCTTCAAAGTTTCAAACGGTGGCTAAACAAGTTGAATCTCTCTTCCTGTAAAACACAAGCAGAACAATTACAATATTATAGTGAAATTATACTGTTATGCTCACCCTTTTATAGTTCCCTTTAATCCCTAAACTGATGCAAGGGGAGACTTTTTCCTACCGGGTACTGCGCAAACCTATATTTAAACTGTATTAAAGTTGTTATTTGCATAATATTACTAGCTTTAAGAATTATTTGTAAAATGTGCTAGGAAATGCCAAGCTTGGACGATGCATTGTATATAATTTTGTTCAATATTATTAAATTTTTGAAAAAGCTCGATTTATACTGTTTAATTAAATGTATAAAATTGTAATTCATATTTTTAAACTTAAAAGCTCAATCAGTTTCATGTATTATTGAAGGGCTTAAGCATTATATTATATATTTATATATGTACAGATTGCAGTACACACTGCAGAGATCGAATGGGAATTTCGCACCTTGCCAAAATATACAAATATAGGAGACTTCCTGACACAGACTAGCATAATACATATTAATGTATTGCATATATTCCTCGTCATTCCACCAGGGATGGAGCAATATTCTACTTGGGGTGGAGCATTCCATTTGGGGTGGAACATTCCACTTGGGGTGGAGCATTCCATTTGAGGTGGAGCATTCCATTTGGGGTGGAGCATACCATTTGGGGTGGAGTATCCCACTTACTGATTGTAGCCATATATTTTAGATTTTCATCATCATCATCATCATTGAAATTTTTGCAACAACTGACAAAAATCATCTTAATTTCATAGCCTGATGTCAGAACGTGAATGTACATCTGTCAAGGTTGCTATCAGGGTTCGACCCTTACTTGAGAGGTGAGTTCAGTGTTACCTTACAGCTGTTAGCATGTAGCCATGTACATACAGATTCCAAGAGTATAGAAACAGTTTATTCAACGATAATATGTTTTTTCAAAGGAACTTTACTGCAATAACAGACATTGCCATGAACAATGTGATGATTATTTTCCACAACCTACCCAATATCCATATCACAGGGAGAGGATAAAAAGATGTAAAGAATGTCTGATAGTACTTCCAAATAAAAGCCAGTTGGCACTAGGCAAAGACCAAAACTTCACTTTCGACCATGTGTTCGAGGAATCCATCAGTCAGGACAATTTATATTGCGAGACTGTAAAACCCCTGGTCCTGTCATGTCTGGATGGTTATAATGCCACTGTTTTTGCTTATGGACAGACAGGTATGAGGTGACTTTGTTTAGCTCATTTTCTCTAACTTAAGATTTTCTAACCCATTTTAAAGTTTCTTTTACTTATAATACTTAATAATGTAAACGGAAAATTAGGCCTTCCTCGATGTTTTGATCATACCTTTAAAATTCAGGGAGCGGAAAGACCTACACAATAGAAGGTGTTGATTCAGATCCAGATCTACAGGGTATTATTCCTCGTGCAGCTGCAGATTTCTTCAATCTTATTGATACATCTGATAGTGATAAGGACACCTTTGTGGTAAGATAATGACAAGTGGATTCTAAAAATGAAACTGAAACCAAAATTTTCTTCTTTCAAATGATAAACTTTTCTAGAAACTCAGTATAGCACCTGAGGTATTACTCGAATTTCCCATGTTATGTATGAAACTATAAAACGAATAGTTGAATTAAATCTCCACCTTCAGCTAAAAGTGTCATATCTTGAGATATATTTGGACGAAGTGAGGGATCTTCTGTCGAACACTGCAGAGGAGATTCACATCAGGGAGGATGATAGAGGGAACACAGTTATTCAAGGTTTTTGTTTGATCTGTTTAGTCGTCTTGATACTTTAGATGTGTCTTGTTTATTCATTGTTGTGAACGAAAGTATGATCAAAATGTTTCGCTGAAATTGAAACCTGACAAAACTTCACCAAGGTTTGAAAGAGGTGCCCGTTACAAGTAGTGACGAGTTGCAAAAGATAATGAGGTATGGAATGGCAGTTAGAACAACCGGAGCTACTCAAATGAACGAGCAGTCGTCACGTTCACATGCCATTCTTACCATTCACATCAACAAGCAGTCTCCAAAGTCTGTGAGGAACATTGAGGTTGGTCTGATGATTTTTTAATGAAAATTTTTTAAACCTCTGGCTTGCCCTCAGATCAGATAATAGAATTTTGAAATCATATCGGTTATGATTTACCAGTTTCAGCCTCTTAGACTGTATTCCAAATTCTAAGAAACATCTATGAATTAAAGTCACTATTGTGACGGTACATTAGAACCAGACAGAAACAAAGTGTGAAGGGCCTGAACAGAACCCCTCGGTTTCAGTTCCTTGTTTAACACTGCCGTACAGCAAGGACATTCACCGTTGGTTCTCCAACATCCATATATAGATGTTTCTATAGATGTTTATATAGGATATATAATATCATATATATTATTATATATGAGATATATCTCATGCATTACAAAATCCTACAGGTAACATCAGCAAAGTTTCACTTCGTTGATCTGGCTGGTTCAGAGCGGGCACACCGAACAGGAAACATTGGCGAGCGCTTCAAAGAGTCCGTTCACATCAACAGTGGACTGCTAGCACTTGGAAACGTCATAAGCGCTCTCAGTGACTCGAAACGGAAATCAGGTCACGTACCTTACAGGGCCTCTAAGATAACAAGGCTTTTGAAGGACTCTCTGGGAGGGAACAGCAGGACCCTCATGATAACATGCGTGTCACCGTCCAGTGACTCCTTCGAGGAGACGCTCAACGCACTTAAATACGCTAAACGCGCCAGAGACATTCAGAACAGACCTATTGTAAACAAGGATGTGATCGAGTTGGAAATGCAGAGAATGGAATCAGAGATATTGCAGTTGAGACAGCAGTTAAAGACACGGGAGAATAGTTCTTCTGAGGTGTCTGGAAGTGATATTGAGAGTCTTCAGGAGGAGAAATCACATTTGGAGAGTGAGGTAGGGTGAAATTTTGAAAGTTTACTAATTGATTTGATAATTCTTCAAAGAAAATTTCTGATTTTTTCTGAATATACTTACTGATGACATAGCTATGATCTTATAATGACAGATAAAACTAATTTGGTACATGTGGCACTCAATTAACTCCAATAATCAAACTTATGGTCAGGTTATTATGATTTTGAATAATCTTTGATATTAACATAAAGTTCAGCAACTATTTATCCAGCTCGACTCATACAAACAATTCGTGAGATCATGTCGATCAGACGTGGAACGGTGCATATCCAAGAAATCCACCGCTGGTCTAGCCAAACTTCTGGAAAAGATCAAATCACGTGATACAAAACAGGGTGGAAGTTCCAGTGATATTTCAGATGGTGTGTTTGATGAGGATAGTGATGTGGTGTCACAGCTGCGGGGCGAACTTAAGAAGTGTAGGGAGGATTTGTTGAATGATGAGAAGATATTTGCTGATCAGCAGTTAGACTTTGAGCAGGTCACACATATTTTATTTATACTATATTTTAAGGAAATTGTGTTTTTTATGACGGTTAATTGTTAAATCATAGGGAGGCTTTTCGAGTTAAACTAATAATATTATGAATCAGTATTCAGTAATTGAAAGCGTTGTTTGAATCAGGTAAAATCAGAGTTAAATGAGAAGATGTCACGCTACGAGGATGAAATACACAGCCTAAAAATAGAGATCGACAAAATGAGAGAAGGAGTTGACGAGAATCTGAACACAACTCTCAAAAAGAAAAGCATCAAGATCACCCGGACCAAACCGTGCACATTTGAAGAAATCGAAGAAATAATGAGAAAGAAAACTTTCGTAATCTTCGAGAAAAACATCAAGAATTGCTTGGAAAATACAAAACCAAGAGCTAAATCAGAGATGTTGGAGACGTTCACAGTTCCCCAACCCAGCAAATGTACGATCAAAGACCACTGTAACTTGGAAAGTAGGATGGAAGATTTGGTTAAAAAGAATGAGAGTTTGGCTAACGAAGTGAATCAGATGAAAGACACTACTGTGAATGTGCACGAAACAAAGAAGCATTTGGAGAAGAATATTTCAACGATTAGGAAGCAGAAGAGTGACTTAGAAAAACGGTAATTATTCCATCTTTTTCAAAAACTTGTATTCTAGTTGACTATTATTCTTCGTTCAAGAACTTTTTGGATTTTAATCACTATTTGCTGTAAAAAAGCTGAGAAATTAAACTCTCAGAATATTGTGAGTTATTTTATATCAATACATCCCTTGTCTTCAGATTGAAAGATGCAGAGAAAGACTTATCAAAGCTGCAAGCTAAAAACAAAAAAGAAAAGTTGGTATCCCTCGGCAGGGATAAAATGGGGAAGAGGATGTCGGAAACGGCTGTAAATACCTCCCAGTCTTCATTTGTTCCACCTCACAATAAGGGTTTGAATGATTTGTTACTGTATGAAAATATTTACTCAAAAACAAACTTTGATTGTTTTAATTTTCTGCTGCTTGTGTTTCATGTGTTCAATAATCTGCTAATTTAAGGAATGTTTTAAGAATTCTTATTAATATAAGAATTTTTAACTTTTTAGTCCGTTTCTAAACGGACTAAAAAGCTAAAACAATCCCACACCTATCCAGTAACATTCCCTCTTTGCAGATGATAAGGAAATCGAAGAAACACTAGAAAAGATAATGGAAGAAAGACAACGACTCCGTGTCAGGGAGGAAGAGATTAAGCTAAGAGAACAGGCGCTGAAAGAAAAGGAGGCTATAGAGAGTGAAATCAAGAAGTTGAGGAGTAAAGAAGTTAGAGCTAGTCAGGTATGCTAAGTTTGAATTCTATTCCTGATATTCTGATAAATTCCTTTCTTTTTTCAATCTAGAATCGTCCTTATCCGCCTTATCGCAGCTTTCCAGTAACATTTGTCTTTAAAACGCCATATTACATGAACCCAGGGACAAAAGGAGATCGCAGCATGTGCGGAATCGCGATTTTTCCCATTATTTGCGACAAATTTTATGTATAGTCTTATATTTTTATTTTATGTATAAAGTCTATGTAAAGTTTATATTCTTAACTTCATAAAGTTTATGTACATAGTCTGTTAAAATCGCGATTTTTGGGCAAACTAATCGCGATTTTCTTTTGTCCCTGCATGAATATATATTATATATATATTATCTCATCATTACTAAATCGTGTTAACTTCAGGTTGTTTCAAAGGATTTACTACGGATGTCAATGAAATTGGACAAGTTAGATACTGAGATAGCAAACAAATCCTTGTGTTTAAGTAGGACGCAAACACTTTCTAAATCAGTTGGATTAGAGGCAGAGATAAGGGATCTTCAGAGGAAGAGAGCTGAAATTACTGGAAAAGTTGAGTCTCTCAATAAGAAAGTTAACCTGGGTGAGTTCAGTTTTTAAATGAAAAATGTTGTTGAAATGTTGTTAAAATGTTGTTAAAATGTTGTTAAACGACATTCTCAGTTTGGTTCCGCTGATTCACCAATCATTTCATGACAGTTCCAATATTTATAAATTATAAATTAATTAATTTTGGCTTCCACCTTTCCACAGTTCTAATGTACTTGTAGTATTTTAGCTGTCTCAGTTCCAATGTTGCTGAGATGCTATTCAAATCTTGCATTGGTTATAATATTTTCGATATTTACAATATTTCTGTCCCCAAACAGGTGAGTTATTGACGAGCGAGGAGAGCACAGAGTACCGAGATCTCAATGAAGCACTAGAGATAACGGAGGCTGCAATAGAGTACCGCTCTAATGCAGATACAGAGAATGGTGGTCCTGATACTGCCTCTCGGCTACCTTCCACACAAGTGAGATTACTTTGTGGTTTTGTTAGTATGACGTCATAGATTAATGAAATAATGAAGTTATAAGTTAACGGAATAATGACGTTAAACTTTGACATATTTAATTCATTTTCAAGTTACTGTTTTGAACTAAATGATGCACATTATATTTTATAATGGAAGCTGACGACGCTTTATAAATCTCCAACGCTTACGTAAATCTCCAATCCAAAACATTTGGTCTTTCGAAACATATAATTTCTGCTTTGAAAATGAAATAAAATCGAAGAAAGTGTATTCCATTTTCAAAAGACAACCAAGTTCTGTAAAATTTAAATTAATCATTAAAAATCTTTAAATGTAACTAAAATCTCCTCAATAACAGGCAGTAACAGATACACTGTTCAACAAACTGATAATAACACGCGAGGAGAACAACACCGTGTTACAACAGAACCAACTGCTGAAGATAGAACTGGAGAACAGAACTTCAGAACTCAACTCCCTTAATAAAACTCTTCTTTCAACATCTCTCGGTACAAAAAAATTTTGTGATTTTTATGATTTTTTGATTTAATTTGATGATTTTTAACACGCTTTCTACTTTTCTCGGTACAAAAATACAAACAAAATAAACAATGTTCCAATCCGGAAATTACATTTCTCGGTACAGTTACATGATTTTTTGTTATTATTTTTTCCGCTCTGAGAATGATTTGCCCTTCTGATTGTTAGGACTCGGGCATTTAATGCGTATCCATAGATACTAGTTCAACGTGTTACGTTTTAAAATCTAACGTTCCTGGTCGAATATTTTAATTTATGAAATGGCGAAGTTCAAACTCTGCTACACATTTCAAATTCTCAGGTTAATGACCGTTTGAGTTTTCAGCACAACTGATTCACTAGTTAGTACCCTGATCTTAATCTTACCTTTATAAGATTTACAGTTTAAGCTCACCCTAACCTTCCATCACAGTAGCAGAGACACCACAACCCCCCACCACACCCAACCCAGTCATGGCCCAAATGGAACGTGACGTGGCTTACTACAAACAGCTGGTCAAGGACCTGAAGGCCAAGTTGCGCGGCACCAGCCCACGTGACAACACCGGAGCTAGCGCGGGAACTGACACGCTGAGTGGGGGAGTTCTGACTCCCGTCAGGAAGAGTAAGAGGGAACTGAGACCGATCACGGCGGAGGAGGCGTTCCATAGGTCGGGGACTGGGTTTAACACCAGTGGGGTTAATAGTTCAGTACCTTGAACATGGGGACTAGTGATTGGTTACATGTTTTTATCACGTCACGACATTCTATGACGTGACAGAGGCTGAAAGCCTGGTTGGTTTATCTTTTCACGTGCGCGTGCACAGATGTTGTGATTTGATTTGATGATTTTTATCACGCTATTGATTGGCGCATGAAGTTATGTCTTAGATACGGGTTGAGGATATGGGAGGGTTTTGAAACAGGGTTCTTGGTAAGGTTTTGGTAATTGTGTCGGAATTTTCATTAGTGTATGTAAAGTGTTAACTGTATGTAAAGAGCTCGGCATAATTTCATGGCGGTTTTTACTGTGATATACATAATTACGTATTATCATATTTTCAAATTTTGACTGACTCCTAAGATGTCTGCATGTTAAACTTATTGATAACTGCTACACTATACTTGAATATGAGCTTTGACTGAACCTTATGACCGAACCTGATAATATAATTCTAAAATGTATTTTGACGCTTTGAACAGAGATGCTGGATTTTTTGCATGCTTTATTTGTAAATTTAAAATTATTTGATTGTAAAAACTGTGTTGATATATTTTTGATAAAAACAGTATTATATATATTATATTGTGCGCTGGTTTTAAAGCGTTTTACTTCTTTAATTAAATGTTTAACTGAAAAATGTTGTCTATCATCTTAAAGTTACCCAAGTTAGTCTTTTGCAGGGCTCAGATTTAAGGTGATAACCTTAAATTAATTATTCAAATAATCAATTAACTAATTACTTACTTAATTAATTAACTAATTACTTAGTTAATTAGCTAATTACTTAATTAATTAGCTAATCACTTAATTAATTAGCTAATATAACTTAATGCCTTGTTAGGGATGTCAGGAGGAGTGACTGCAGGAGTTAACATGTCAGATAAACACAACCCAGCTCGAGCAGTCCCTGTTAGGGTCAAGAAGAAGTGAGATACTTTACATGTCTAAATATAGCAAAGCTTTCTTTGGGAATGAAACTTTCAGTACCTCAATCGTGTCTTTTGAAGTTGTGACATCCTCAGTGACCTTGCTAGATGGTCATTCAAGAAAAATTCAGTCGAAACAAACAGTGAAATTTGAGTCTTGGAAAGCTGATCTCTATAAAAAATCAAATAATCACTTAATGCCAATGGCTTATTTAGATTTGTTTATGACTTGTTAATGACTTGTTAATGACTTGTTAATGACTTATTAACAGGACTCTTAAGAAGCTGAGTAACGCAGAGAGACTGGAAATGGAGAACGCGAAGATGGAGGAGAGACTGAGAACTCTGAGGAAAACAATAGAGAAGGAGAAGGAGGAGAGGAGGTTAGTACAAATAATCAATTAACTAATTAATTAATTGATTAACTAATCATTTAGTTAGTTAGCTAATCACTTAATGAGTTGAGGAGAGGAGGTTTGTACACAACTTGTTATCTGTATTTATTGGTGAATATTTGTCACGTGGTATAGTAACTGTGTTATATTTGGTTGATTTATGTCCCATGTTACAGACATTGTGTTCTAATTGTTTTATTTGTGTCACATGTTAGGGATACTGTGTTCTAATTGGTTGCCACCCCAGTAACTGTACTAGCCTGTGGAAATCAGGACAGACGGGAGCTATAACTAATTTCGCAAAGGAGCACAGCAGTAAGAACAAGAGTGCTGGTATTAAACTCGGTGATAAGAAGATTAAAGTTAAATTTCTTACTCCTGTGGTAGAGAAAGGTGAGAGTTTATTGACGTTAAAGTATGAGAAATAATTGTATTTTTTATAGCCTTGGACTTGCTTGGCTTAACTTAATAAAATATGAATACTGCTTGGGGGAATTGATCAAAATGGGAATGAAATGAAAAGGCATTGCAAATTAGTAGAACACATGCATATATTAAGATAAAAGGTGGTTGGGTTTAACAAATCACCACAATCATGCCTTTTAAGACGGAAAATAGCCCAGTTAATATAGAGTACCCTTACATTCCAGGAGAATCCCGAGAAAAACAACGTAAAGCAGCCCCACGTGTCTCCACACCCCACAACTCTAGCACCACAGCTGGTTCCTCTTGGGCAGAACCACAAACATCCCACCAAGGTCCCGCTGAATCTCAGCGCTCTGAAGCACTGCGCCCTGAAGCGCTGCATGCAGATGCGCCGCGTGCAGATGCGCCTCACACAGAAACACACAGTTTTGAGATGCAGAGAATGCCCCGTGAGAGCATGGCGTGGAGTGAGGTGGGGGAGATGGAGGGGTTGCAGAGACAGGCTAGCATTGTGGGACCGGTGTGTGGTCAGTGTGAGCTGAACGGCGCTCAGATGGTACGTGTTTTAGTTTCGGTGGTAACCTAGGTTAAAGTTGGTATTTATATTTAAATCTTTGATGGTACTTGATACTTCAGATGGAGATGTTCTCGATTGAATTGCAAATATTGTGTGAAGTTCGTTTTTCAGATAACTGATTTTTTTCAGAATTGCATGGAATGTGGCGAGAAATACTGCACAGAATGTTTTGCAATGTTCCACAAAAAAGGAGCCCTAAAATCACATACCTCCCGACCTCTGACCCGACAAGCCAACTTGGCTTTAAACAGTGGTCCTGCAAGACAAGTCAAAATGTAGGTTCTTTGTTAGTATGTTTTTGGGAGTCAATTTATCCTTCGGCTCAATTCATTGAAATTGGTTTGAGATTGGTTTTGAGTCCGCTTAAATGATATAGCTTCTGTGAGTTAATATCGATTAGGACGCCTAATTTTGTGCTTAAGAAAAAGTTTGCATGCCACTACTGTTCAACTGTGAAAGTGCTTGACAATTTCTGTACGTGATTTCCATAGGCCTTCATATCAGTCACGAATCACGAATTAATATAGCCAATATTTTCAGTGAAGAGCCGATACAAGAAAATTCTCTCTGGGGAGATTATGATGAAGATGCATCAGCTGCAGGATTCATGGACGCAGTCAAAGCATGGCGGGGCGAAGAAGTAACAACAAATAGTACTGGTAATTTGAGAATATAATCGCATTTTGACACATTTTGAAATCTGCTAACCCGCGGCCAGTAAGCAAATGGAACGCGCGGACGCCGAACGGTTATTTTGTGTTGAAACGTTTTCGCGCAACCAGTCAGTGTAGCGAAAATGCGAATTTAATGATCGATTTGCTATGCATTACGATAGAACGATATATCACGTGCTTCAATTATTTTGTTATGTGTTTAGGCAACCAACAAACCGGTGTTGCTGGGAAGACTACGGACGGTTCACAAACAGCCAAGGGCGCTATCCCTGATATAAACTTCTCAGAAAACGAGGTATTTATTCTTTTATCAGCCAAATTTCGAAACCATTCCGTACTTACTTTTTTACTTACTTTTACTTTGGGCGATCCTCAATCGAAATCCCATTCACTGTCTGCCTCCACACGTCTCGATCGCACATAACAGTTCGAAGGTCGTCTAACTGGAGCCCAGTGTCACGAGCTACTACGTCCAGGAAGGTGAGTGGTCTCCTTCCACGGCCCGATTGGGCAAGTCGCCAGGGGAGGATAGTGGAGATAACTTGGTCAGAAGCTCTCATGCAATGCCCAGCAAATCTGGAACGCCTCGACGCAACCACTGAGGCAATAGATGGAAGGTTGCCATAGATCTGCTTGAGCCTTGAGGGTTGGATGCTTCTTCCACGAGATGTTCTTGGCCTTCATTAAAAGACGGGTGTAGCATCCGTTGAGGCGTTTCTCAAGCTGCTTGTTTATGGTCCATGTCTCTGATCCATAGAGCAATACTGGTTCGACACAGGCTCTAAAGAACTTGACTTTCAGTTGTTCGGAAATGCCAGAGGACCAGACTTTTTGCAGTTTAATACAGGCTGACCAGGCCATTCCTTTCCTTGTGTTGAAATCCTTTCTACTGTCCGCAATGAAAGAGCCGAGGTATTTAAAGTCATCAACCTGTTTAATCTGGCGGCCTGAGATAGAATGTAAGTCGACAGTGTCAGGGATATTGATGGTCATGAACTCGGTCTTAGAAGCATTCATAGCAAGACCAACTTGTGCGGCTGCATTTTCAAGGTCTGTCAGCAGAAGTTGGACTTGCTCTATGGTGTCTGAAATTAAGGCCAAATCATCAGCAAAGTCAAGGTCTGTGATTTTGACCGCAGGCACTCTTCGGCTTTTCCTAGGCACGATGGTAAGACCGAATTCGTCACCCATGCAGCTTCTGAGGACATAGTCAAGGACGATGATGAAGAGAAAGGGTGCTAGAGTGTCCCCTTGAAGAACTCCAATAAGTGTCCTAAAAAAGTCAGTAAGGCCGTCGATGGTCTGGACACGAGAGAACGATGAGTCATAAAGAAGCCTGATAGCATCTACAAGTGGAGTAGGGATACCGTAGAGGGAGAGGATGTGGAAAAGGGCATCCCGGTTAATGCTGTCGAACGCTTTCGAAAAATCGACAAACACAATTGCGGCTGAACGATTTCCGATCTTGCATTCCTCGAGTATACGACGTAGGGCAAGGACCTGTGGGAGTGTGGATCTTCCTCTACGGAAACCATTTTGGTTTGGCCGCAAGAGGGGATCAATGAATGGGTAGATCCGGTTGAGGATGAGCTTGTTAAAAACTTTCGCTGCAACCGGTGCCAGTGAAATGCCACGGTAGTTTCCTGGATTAGTAAGATCACCCTTTTTGGGGATAGGAATGATAGAGGCCGTTTTCCAGGCTTGGGGGATCACACCATCCATGAGTGCTTTATTACAGAATCCGAGGAGGTTTTCACGTAGCTGGGGAAGCTTCCAGACTGAGGGAGGGATGCTATCTAGACCGGGTGACTTGGAGGACTTGGCGGACTTCAGAACCGTGTCGAGTTCTGACATGCTGAAGGATGAGCAGCTGATGGGCAGGGTGTCAGAGACTCGCTGGTTGAAGAAGGGGAGGGTGAGGTCCGGCGGAGGCTGTTCTGTGCCTAGAAGGGACTTGAAGTGCTCGAACCAGATGTTGAGCCGTTCTTCGGTAGTGCCTCCTGGCACTTTGCAGTATGGCACAGTGTCGGAAGATGTTAGTTGCCTGATGATGTGCCAGGAACTGCGATGCCTGTGCTCGGGGTTAGTTTTCTCCAGCAGGTCAGTCTGTTGTCGAATGTGCTGTGAAGTAGCAGCATTATAGGCTTCGTCCAGTTGCTTCTTTGCGTCTTCAAGCTTTTCCTTGGACGAAAAAGAGGGGGAAATCCTGTGACTCAGGGACGCATCCTTTAGGATATTGCGATGGTGTGCAATATTAGGATCGTTGTAAGGATTTTCCCGTTTCCTCTTCCTCTTTTTTGGCAACACCTTAAGTGCTGTGCTTGTAACGCTTTTAACGAGTAGGTCGTAGTCGGACTCGAGCTCTGCTCCGTAATAATTGCAATATATCTCTATGATCTATGAAGAATTGATCCATTAAAGGTGAAAGCATATAATGAGGGTATTTTGATATTAATTGTTATTTTGATAATTTCAGAACGTGTCATACTTTGAGCGGATGCTGTTGAAGAAACAGAAAGAGACAGTAGAAGATGACATTATTGACAGTGAAGCTAAAAGTGAATACAGTGCAGGAGAGATAACCGTGTCACAACTCGACTTTTGTAGAGGTAAAGATAACATGAGTCATTTTGTTACGAATTTTTATAAAAATATGAAAATCTATGCTTGAAAGTCTAAAGGAATAACGCTCCTATAACCGCCCCTCAAAAGCTCAAAGTATAATCACGGAAAGCGTAAGACGTAAGCGTTTTATTACACTGGATCCAATCAGATATGTATACGATTTTAATTTCAGATCTGTTGGCTCACAACATCGAAGAAGATCGCAAATCTAGGATGGAGGCTGAACGACCAGAGAGTGTTATTGAAATTGTGGAAGTTAATTCCAACATTGGTAAATATTAACATTCTTTATTCTATACCACATATTATTTGATTATTCACTCTACGACATTGGTAATTGTTAACTGCATTTTACTACAGTTTTTACCACAATATTTCCAGTATAAATGTCGGTGACAATGTTTTGCCACACTTCCATATAAGTATCAATCATCGAAACACGCCTAGTTACGAATGAAAAGCTTTTACAATTTGAATTCTCGACAATTATCATGATCATGGGTTGTTTGTATAGTTTAATTTTTTAAAGTTACATTGTTTTGTTAAATTTTTTGTAATCACATTTTAAAAGTTAAATTTTGGCTATTCAACAGGGTATTTAGAAGAGATAGCAAGTTGTGTAGTTGAAGAGTCGCCAGTTTGCTCTGACGATGAGGATGATGTTAGAGGTCAAATGGAGGTAAGATCTGGCCTGTAAGATTCCTCCTTTTTTATGAATCATGACATCATTATGTTAGAGAAACAGGTAACTTCGAAAAGTTAAATTAGATTGATTGATAAATCTATATCTACCTGATATCACCATTGATTATCATATAATTTCATATCTTAAAAGGTAAAATACATAAAAATATCTTGATGGTAGAACAATTTTTTCATTTTTTTTGAGACCAAGAAAATCGTATTCTCAGGGAATATATTCTGGGCGGTTTCTTTAGTCACGATTCGCGATAGCCAGAACTACGAATTTATCATCTAGGAATTTATCAACTACGAATTTATCACTACGAATTTATCAACCACGAATTTATCAACTACGAATTTATCAACTACGAATTTATCAACTACGAATTTATCAACTACGAATTTATCAACTACGAATTTATCAACTACGAATTTATCAACTACGAATTTATCAACTACGAATTTATTAACTACGAATTTATCAACTTTTTCTTCTTCTTTCCCTTCTTCTCTTTATCTCCTTTGTCTCCCTTCCTTTTACTTGATTTTTTTTCTTCTCTTTGTGTCCTTTTTTCATCTTGTCCTTTTTGTCCTCTCCACGTTTGAGGACGTCTCCTTCTGAAGGTAAATCTGATTCTTCAATCGGACGAATAAACCGATCTTCATCATATTTCTCAATAGGTCCTCTGTCAATTGAATAGAGCTGGCAATCTGTAACGATATCCTCCTCTTTAGTTACCTTCACAGTGTACTCTTCAAACGTTGACGTACACTCAATTAGTCTCCCACTCTCAGCTATTTTCTGCATGATGGTCGTGCATTCCTTAAACATACCGTGTTTACCATCATGATCCCCACCTGGTATTTCTTCCCCAAAAACCTGGACTTCACACAGTGTCAAAATCTTCATTTCCTGAGTTATCTTCACGACATTACCCTCCAACCCTTTCTTGCAGTCGTACCTCTCTGCAACGGGAGAACCTCTCGTTGCCTGTACGGTAGCACATTCCTTAAATACTCCATCTTTTCCTACCCAGATTAGAGCTCCAATTATCCTCTCACCACAACAGTCCATCCTGTTGAAGATCTTCACTGCATCAATTCTATAAACCTTCTCCAGTGTAACCTGCCACCAATTGCCCGTCGTGTATGATTTAGTGTGTGTGCACGTGTCGTCCTCCCAGTTTCCACTGGTCTTCCCGTCCACTGCTCGGTCGCTTTCTCCTCTCACACACGTACATCCTCCGTATGTAGAACTCTGGAGTTAATTAATTAATTAAATGAATGATTTTGAATAAATTGATTAGATAAAGATTCATACGGCTAGATCAATCATTGAAATTTAAAATTTTAAGCCCGTTCGAACTTTCGACTTAGAATTAGCAGTGAACAAGCTTACATTAGGGAAAGAAATTTTAAAAAGGTTTCGAATATTATAAATTTCTTTCTAACTGACCTGAGAAGTTGGACGTTTCAAAGCGAGGTTTGTCTGGCAATAAGCCAGCTGAATACCGATCAAAGCCAATAAAACTATTGTTGAGTTCATCTTGATGCGATAAGAAATGAAGTAAGAACTGGTTACTGGACCCTCCTAAATTTAATAAATGTTCAATATTAATTATTTCATACAATTAGTTAAATGTTTGAAACCACAGAATTTATTTATTTACTTGTGTCATGTTTACTTTTTAGTAAGCATCATATTATTTCGGGACTCGGGAAATCGAAATATTAACTTAAAAGCTTCTTTCATTAAAATTTCTGATTGTTTCTGAATAGACTCAGTGAAGAGGGTACGATCTATATTCCAACCTTAGTTTGTCTAATAAACTTATTAAGAGGATGAAAGTTACCGTGTTTACTTATTAGAAGTTTGTAGTCTTAACTCTTTCAGTAAGACTCGACACAAAAACTCTAGAAGTGAATACAATAACATGTCCACCATTCAAAAGAGTTAATATCCATTTACGCAGATCCAATTACTGAAATTACAAGTTTAATAAATTCCGGCAGTTTCATGAACATTATAATTCCAGTCATATCCTAGGCAGTAAACGAACCAATTGTGGGTATTGTTGACTTAACAAGTTAACACTATACAGACCCTACTCAAATTATAGTTGTCCCTATTATAGAGTTAAACATAGCATCGTTATAATTAAACAGGGAGTCACCTTTTGTATATTTATAAACAAAAGACGTATAACTAATAATAATAATAATATTAATACCAAAGTAAGTAACTATAAGTTATTTATTAATAAAAACTGGCAAACCACAAGGTGTTAACTAATGAAGTAGTGGACTGCTATTATGGTAATAAAGTAAACTTATTGTCTAATCAGACCTCCTTTCAACAACAGATGACAACAAAATATAATAGACTAACGACACAAAAATGCCGAACAATGAAATATTTCTTTCGCTCATTTAAATAAATATGAATCCCTGTTTAATTAACCAGTTTATCAAGAATTCATTTATCTATAATTAATTGTATCCAAAGCTCCACATACGGAGGGTGTCCATGTCGACCTAACGGACAAAGCGACAGAGCAGTGGACGGGCAGACCAGTAAACAATGGCGCGACGACACGTGCACTCACACCAAATACAACACGGGCAATTGGTGGCAGGTTACACTGGAGAAGGTTTATAGAATTGATGTAGTGAAGATCTTTAACAGGATGGACTGTTGTGGTGAAAGGATAATTGGAGCTCAAATCATGGTCGGAAAAGATGGAATATTTGAGGAATGTGCCACCATAACGGTAAAAATAACCGAGAGTGAGAGGTTCGAGTGCAAGAAAGGTTTGAAGGGTAACGTCGTGAAAATAGTTCAGGATAAGAATATCTTGACACTTTGCGACGTTCAAGTATTTGGAGGTGAACCTGGTGACAAAGATGAAGACAATAAGGAGATAAAGGACAAGAAGAAAAAATACAGAAAAGACAAAAAGAAGAAAGACAAAAAAATACAAAAAGAAGGAAAAGAACGCTAAATAATGATCGTCTGAGTTACCAATTTCCGAGTTTCGTTCTGTGGTTTTGAACATTTAAAGCAGCACGAAGAAAATTAAGACTTGTGATCAAAGTAATTAGATTAGTAATTAGACAAATAATTTTTTTCTGTCAAGCCATTACTGTTAATTGATTCCGGGCAATCCTACTCTTATATCAAGAAGTATGATTGTTTTCTACAATTTATCTATATCCAAATCACAAAAGAAGACAACTTTGATCGCCAGAATATAATAAATGCAGCAGTAACAATAATATTTTACCATAGATACATAATAGCGTACATAAAAAACTACTGCGAGTAATCACAGAGTAGATTCAACTTCATTGTGTATCTCTTGAGAATTGTCTAGATCTCTTTTATCTTAAACATTAACATTTTTCCAACTCCCTCAATTGTTTCATTAGTTCTGATACTATTTCCAGATCCAAGATCTCACACACGTACATCCTCCGTATGTAGAACTCTGGAGTTAATTAATTAATTAAATGAATGATTTTGAATAAATTGATTAGATAAAGATTCATACGGCTAGATCAATCATTGAAATTTAAAATTTTAAGCCCGTTCGAACTTTCGACTTAGAATTAGCAGTGAACAAGCTTACATTAGGGAAAGAAATTTTAAAAAGGTTTCGAATATTATAAATTTCTTTCTAACTGACCTGAGAAGTTGGACGTTTCAAAGCGAGGTTTGTCTGGCAATAAGCCAGCTGAATACCGATCAAAGCCAATAAAACTATTGTTGAGTTCATCTTGATGCGATAAGAAATGAAGTAAGAACTGGTTACTGGACCCTCCTAAATTTAATAAATGTTCAATATTAATTATTTCATACAATTAGTTAAATGTTTGAAACCACAGAATTTATTTATTTACTTGTGTCATGTTTACTTTTTAGTAAGCATCATATTATTTCGGGACTCGGGAAATCGAAATATTAACTTAAAAGCTTCTTTCATTAAGCAGTAACAATAATATTTTACCATAGATACATAATAGCGTACATAAAAAACTACTGCGAGTAATCACAGAGTAGATTCAACTTCATTGTGTATCTCTTGAGAATTGTCTAGATCTCTTTTATCTTAAACATTAACATTTTTCCAACTCCCTCAATTGTTTCATTAGTTCTGATACTATTTCCAGATCCAATTAACCGTCATTTCAATTCTTTTGGGGCACTGACATTTGACAGTCGTATTGATATATTCTACTTGGTTCTTGTTGTCACCTTCTCCAGTCAGCTCCAGGTTGATATATTCTACTTGGTTCTTGTTGTCACCTTCTCCAGTCAGCTCCAGGTTGGTATCTCCTACTTGGTTCTTGTTGTTTCCTTCTCCAGTCAACTCCAGGTTGGTATTTTTTATCTAGTTCTTTTAGTCTCCTTCTCCAGCCAGTTATAGATTGGTTTCTTCAATTTGGTTATTTTTGTCTCCTTCTTCAGCCAGCTCTAGGTTGATATATTCTACTTGGTTCTTGTTGTCACCTTCTCCAGTCAGCTCCAGGTTGGTATCTCCTACTTGGTTCTTGTTGTTTACTTCTCCAGTCAGCTCCAGGTTGGTATCTCCTACTTGGTTCTTGTTGTTTACTTCTCCAGTCAGCTCCAGGTTGGTATCTCCTACTTGGTTCTTGTTGTTTCCTTCTCCAGTCAGCTCCAGGTTGGTATCTCCTACTTGGTTGTTGTTGTTTCCTTCTCCAGCCAGCTCCAGGTTGATATCTCCTACTTGGTTCTTGTTGTCTCCTTCTTCAGCCAGCTCTAAATTGGTATCTCCTACCTGGTTCTTGTTGTTTCCTTCTCCAGTCAGCTCCAGGTTGGTATCTCCTACTTGGTTCTTGTTGTTTCCTTCTCCAGCTTGCGCTTCTGTGACAGGCTTTTCTCCACCTTGTACCTCTACACCATCCAGATCAATAGTTCCACGTGGTATTGGTCTCCTTATTCTTTCTCTGAAGACCCTGATTGTTCTTGAGTTG